AATATGTGCATTTACTGACAGAGAGTGCAGGGTAGCACTCTCATACCGAGTATTACGACCGCCCTTTACGGCTGTTTGCTTACTTACGTCCTTTTACACAGTTTTCCGCTGCTTGTTTATTTAATATCAGATATTTTTCATACAAGAGAGGTTTTAAATAAAGCGGAACGGGTGGATCTTTTCAAATAAAAGTTGTCTTGTCCCTAGAAATATAATAAGAAAATAATAATTTAATATTTTTTTGCAAGCATCAAAGTATGAGGAACGTAATTCTAAATTAAATTTATCAAATATTTAGCTGGGTTAATTCATGCAAGTCTGAATCCGTCAAAAATTTTCCAGTTAAAAATTTCATTTGTTTCATTCTTATACCTTGGTGAGTCGGAGACTGAAATTCATTCCTCGGAGTTAAATTCACTGGACATTAATAAGTATTTCGGGATGTCGCGTCTCGGAGAAAATAAGAGCTAAAGTTTTGTCATAAATTCTTACAGATTTGGAATATAAAATGACTGCTCGTAATAATTCCTTATCACAGCCAAGCAGGGATAAACAGGGACCTTTAATCATCGTTATGTTTTTTACTTTTACCATATTTGTAGAGAAGTTGGCTAATAAATAATTATAAATTAAAACTCTCCTATATCCCGAAACTTTTTCGGCGCCCATTTTAATAATGGGAGATAAATTAACTTTTTCTCGCATAAAGCAGAGAAATCTTAAATTTTACCCTTATTATGTTTCTCGATGCGGCGTACTCACTAAATCAATTTAATTGAAACATAAAGTATTTGAGTAAATAAAGACGTACTAGCAAGAATATTTTTTGTAGCAAAACAAAACAACAATATTTTGTGATAATGAATGAAAATAACCAATATTTTTAAACTATATTTTATTAAACGGTGAAAAATGTGTATCAAATTACTATTGAATCCTTGTTGGCCACAAATATTAAAAGAATAATAATATATTCACGATTTTTTTTAACTTAAAGCTCTTTTCATAAGCTTTCCGAATATGTAATAATATATAACTATATCACGCTCGTGCGTCGTATATTTCATTTTGCAACTAAGGCTACAAAATAAAAAAATTCCAGGTTGCAAATTTGAAATTAAAAAAAAAGATAGATTTCAGTGTATTATTATGAAATCTATCAGGAAAAAAATCAGTGCGATTGTGGAAGATCCTCGGGATCGTCCAGACTAATAATTAGTTAATTTGTTTAGAAGGCCATAACTTGTAAACTATTCAACTTACCGATTCCAGATCTCGTGTGAGTCATTAGACAGTGATAAGGAATGAGAGGATACGATGTTAAAACGTTCTGGTAATAATAATGCAGTTTATAAATGTTCAATTCAAGTCATAAATAAACTTCTTCTGTTTATAACTTTTGATCTAATCAATATTTTTTGACGCTCGAGGGCTAGTTTTGTAGGTCTTTTGAAGACGAAAAAAAGTGCTTTACTGTTTTCTCGTGGAAATGAACGGAAAAAAGTTATAAGCGGAAAACGTGAATTTAGGTACAAAGGTAATTAAAAAAACAAAATATTTTTGTAAAGGAAGAATACTGACTGTTATTATTTTTGGGGATTTTTATATTTTTATTTGTCTTCTTTATTCAATACTAGATTTTTAGTTTGGCAAACATAGTTTACTGATTTTTTTATTTCTATACGGGTAGCAAATACACAAATAAGCAGAAAAAAAATACACTGAAAGTATCCCTAATAAAGTAACCGAGTGTTTTTTCCAAAGCACACCGACATTATTTGCCACTAATGGTAACAGAGATCAAAATCTGAAATATAATAAAGCATGGAAATATCTTAGTTTATCTGTGACATGAAATACACAAGCGGAAATCTGTTATTTTTCCCATTACATTATTACCTTTTGAATAATGAGTCAGGCATATCTATTTTAGGCAACCACGCTGACACAAAAAGCCTTGTTTGTTTCATTTACAGTCTTTTTTGTCATAAAACTCATCGCAAATGACCTAAGGGAAATAAAACGTTCTGAAAAAGAAATCAGTCTACTAATGAGTGTAAGCTTTTATTTGAATTCACGTCCAAAGCGTACGTGAATTGAGGTAAAAGCGAGATCCACCAAAACGGGCATTTACCGGAATGAAAGACATAATCAACATAATTAGTTCTTGAAAGTGTATTATTTTATTTCGTAATAATTTTTGAGATTGGCAATTTTTACTAACTTGTGTGCATGAAACATTTTACAGATCTTCTAAAACTAACATTAATTACTCTTTTAACGATTTTTTAAACGTATTTTTTGTGTTATTGATAATGAACCAATTCCCAAGAGAAAATAATGTACAAGTGGAACCAGGTCGCATATGCTACGTCTATAACACGTATTAGATTATTCGTCGTAGTCACGTTTTTGTCATTATAAGCCTTACTTTGTCTTCTTCAAATTGAAATTGAGCTCTAAGATATACCGAGAGAACACCAAAAAAAAAGCAATAATATACCTGACTCGCTTTGCGTTACTTATGGCGGATTGTCAATTCTCCTAACGTACAGATTTCAAAATAGCCTCTCTTTCGTGTCATACGAGACCAATTCAAGAGAGAAAAATACAATAACTTGAATTGAACATGTTCACTGACATCATTTTGATCATTCAATATTGTATCACATGGAATTAGTTCTTAGCAACTAACTTAATTCCCAAATCTACATGGATTTGTACAAACTATCGTTCAACATAAATTAACGTAGAGGCTGGACTAATAGAAGATTATTTGACTGGGCCTTTTATTCTTCCCAAATGACCAACTATTTCAAATTGTTAATTATTATTAGGTACAGTGACAATTATTTTACTCTACGGATAGTTGAAAATGAAGGGTGATTGACCATGGAGCTTCCGACTATAATTTTTATCCAATTATTTCCAATTCAACAACATTAAAAAATAAATAGAGGAAGCATCATAGTCTTTACAATTGAACAAACTTATTAACACTATTATTTCTGATTTGCGCAATTAAATTTAAATTTTACTATTTATATAGCTCGCAATCATAAATTTAAAGTTGGGATTAATAGAATGTTTTTGTCAAACGAAACTAAAGCTCCTCATTGTCTGGACGAGGTAGTGGTAACAGCTCGCTGTCGAAAGTCAAATAGTAAAATTGTGTAAATTCTTAATGAAAGTCCGTAATTACTTTTTATTATTTTTCTTTTGTTTAAACTCTCTCCAAGGCTCGCCTTACAGTAGTGAGCAAATAATGGAATTGAGTTTTATTCCCTAAGCCATAAGAAACAGAAAACAAAGTACAAAAAAATTGTCCCCAAAGCCGTGATAAAATTAAAACGGTTATAGACAGGATACAGTGTTTTAAAAGTATTGTAAGGTTCTACATGATGCGTTTGTTTAATGTGGAAACTTTAATATGGCAATTACTTTAAAAAAACTCATGAGATACAAATTACCACTTGACAAATGAAATTATACTAATAGTAGGTGTATCGTACATTGAAAACACAATTGATATAAATGATCGCGGGTTGGTTCGAGGTAATGGTATATACGTTGCTATTTTCTATTTTAGTATTATCTTCAATTAAATTTTGGTTATGATTCTCTCTATGATGATCCACAGCCAGATGTAAGTCCTGCAATTTGTATAAGTTGTTGTTCTGCAATTTTTGACAAAATTTAAGGTAGCAGTCATAGACCAGGGCGGATCGTTTTGAGGTGGATGTGATAGGGGGCAAGCAATTTTTTTCTGGATTACCTTCAGTACAACTTACATAATAAAAGTGTAGATCCGTGTAGATCCCTAGATCTGGGCAAGGCCCGCAACATTTTCAAAATTGCAAAAATGTTTTAAAAATTTAAAAGAGTACCTATTTTATCTTATATCTTGGAACCTATGCATTTTGGAAGAATATTGAAGATGAAAAAAAGTTTTAGAATTGAAGTTTGCACAATATACTGTAAGCTAAAACTGTTTAAATTTATTACCCATGCTACAAAATAGAAATAATTCATGAAAAAAAGGCAAAATAATCAAGCTTTTTGGATAATTTTTTTTTAATATTTTAATTGCTCCGAGGGCATTCTAATTTTGGTAAAAAAAACTTCCTCGGTTTCAAAAATACAATACCTATGTACGTTTTCAGCCACGAAATTTGAATAATTCTAAATATTTCGAATTTTCAACCCCAAGAACGGCGGTGAAAACATTTTTAAAATTATGGCGATGTTTCGCATGTCTATACAGATTTAGTTTCGCGCAACTCACTCGGTTTCAAAAATATATGTACTATGTACGTTTTCAGCTACGAAATTTGAATAATTCTAAATATTTCGAATTTTCACCCCCCAAGAACAGCGGTGGCATTTTTAAAATTATGGAAATGTTTCGCATGGTACTAGCTTCTAGCCGATTTTAATGAAATTTGCTGTGTTGTTTTACTATACTTTAACGTTTTTTTTTTCTTTTAGAAAAATTAGAATGCCCTCGGAGCAATTAAAATATTTTTAAAAAATTATCCATTTACAATATCGGTAATAAATTTAAACATTTTTAACCTACAGTATACTGTGCAATATTTAATTCTAAAACGTTTTTCCTGTTCAATATTCTTCCAAAATGCATAGGTTCCAAGACATAAGTAAAAAAACGTAAAAAGTATTTCTACTCATGTAGAATAATTAGTTACTTTAACACTTATCAATTCTTGTACCACAAGCTGTGGATCCTAACCACAAAGATTCATTCTTGATATGATTAGGATGACAAAAAAGAGACATCTTTCTACACTCTTTCAAAACTTTGTATTTCGAAGTGCCTTACTATATTTCAGGGGCACCCGCTGCAACGAAAAGTATTATTATTGATAAAACTGCGGTTTCCGTTTCCATGGACTGACTTCAATAATCAGCCGAAACGTCACTGTTCAAATTTTAAAATATCAGTTGTGTGACATACTTCAGGGCACTGGAAAAAATAGAAAATGGAGACCGATTCCCTGAGCAAAACCAACTTAGGTAAAGTTAGATGTAACAGAAAAGTGGGACGGACCAAGTACGAACAACATGGGCCTGAAATTGAGAAATGGTGGAATGAATTATTCGAGGCTCTGGAAGGTGATGCTGCCATTGTAAGTGGGTTTATGTTTATTTAATTTAATCAGATGTCTACTTAAATTTGATATAGGTAGCTAGTTTTAATTTTTACCGTAATATGTGTTTATTGACAATCGACAAATCTAAAAAGTTATTTGAAATTTACAATATTACATTTAGCAATATCTGATCTTATAATAAAAAAAATACGTTTTGTTTTTGAATTATAATTTTACGGAATTAAAACTGATATTTTCTGAAATAAAATTCACTAATTTGAAATATAATTAATGCTTACTGAATCAAATATTGTGTCTGAGAAAAAAAGACTATCTCAAAAGAAGTGAAAGTGTAATCAGTAAGGTATTTAATTAAATTATAAACAAATGGGTCATAAGAAATACATTTTGCAACTTTTTCTTTATCAAAGTTTTTGCAAAATATTACTCATTTCTTTGTCACTTGATCAACCTTGTATCGCTATAGTTTATAATATCCCTGCCTAATAATAGCCTCCCTCTGGTATTTGTTAGACAAATTTTTAAATTTTACACGAGTCCTGGTAAACATTTAAGAATAGTCCAGGGAACGAAGATAAAAATAGGGTTAAACCTCCCACTACTTTCGGATAGATCCGATTTTTATGAAAATTGGGAATTAAGCGTATTTAACCCTGTAGATGAAAGTTATATATGCTTGATAAGCACTTCTTATTTTTAGGGGATGAAAACCACGCTTTATGCTAAAAAACTGTATAAATATAAAAATAGGTGTTATATAAACTAAAATCGTATCTTAATATATAGAATATATATTGTTTTATATTACAACTCTGAAAAAATTACCTCTAATAACAAAATATTAAAGAATATATAGTTATTAACAGTTTGAAATGATTTGATAGTACAAACAGGATAAATTAAATTCTTTTACCTGTTTATAATACAATTTATAATTTATTGCATTGTTTTAACCCTTAAAAACAACCCCCATTGACAAAATACAAAAAAAATGGTTTAAATTATTTAAAATGAACTATAATGCTCCGAAAATTGATTCGGTAAGGTACCGTTGGTTTTTTAACTTCTTTAATTTTAAAACTATTAAGACGATCCAAAAACGATTTTACGGAAAATTTCGGCAGCTAAAGGTACTGTAAAATTGAATATTTTTTAACACGTTATTTTTAAGATTTTTGAGGATAAAGGGTCTGAAGAACATGACCTTCACCCTCAACTGCAAACTTCTAGCAAGGACATCTCTCTTAATTTTTATCCTTCACAAATAAAAAAAAATAAACAAAATATTCTCTGAAAAAAATCTAAACTTTTGTACTCTTGAATATTTTTTCGTATCTTTTTTATTATCAAAAATATGTAATTTTTTTAGAATTAAAAAAAAGAAATTCAATCAAAAAGTAATATTTTCAAAGATATGCATTCTAAACCGCTTAAACTTGTATAATATAACAATATATTACACATATACAAAAAATATAAATTAGAGAAGGATTGCCACTAATTTAAAATCTCGTGAAAAATGCATCAGTTTTTGTAGATTTTTTTTCCGAAAAAGCGAATAAACAGTCTTATTTTGGTCATAACTCTGTTAGTTTTTGTGCTAATGACTTAAAGTCAAGTTCATTTTAAAGATTTTTTAAAGTATCTCAACACCTATTGCACCTACATAAATAAAAAACCTCAAGTCCTTTTCTTTTTCTATAAGCTTCATTTTCTTTTAGATGTTTTTGTTTCATAGAATGTCTATTTTCCGAGTTATTCGAGAAAAACTACTGAAAAACGTCCTTTTTTTAATAAAAAATGTACATTTTCAATCACCAATAACTCAAAAAATATTGACTTATCGAAAAGGGTTCATAAGATACTGTTTGCTTAAAATTGATTGCTTTATCGATTCCTGGGGTTATTTTCAATATTGGCTTCCACCCCCTGAGCAAAAACGCTCATTGGCACTTGAACCATTTTGTACTGACAGTCCAAGTTTCATGTCAATCGGTTATATCCGCAAGAATTCGGAGTGGAAACCCTTGGTTTCCTGTACTAGAAATGATTAAAATATTCCAGGAACCCGACAAGCGGTTGCCGCTTCTCCGAGAAGTGTTCCCACAAAGGTTCCTTCAAAAAATCTTATCGATACTGAGTGTTCAAGACATAAAATTTAAAAACTATTTGACACTACCAGCTGATACCCCAAAGGAAAAGAAGAAGAAGAAATTGGTGACCGACTCCAGCCTGAATCTTGATTCAGGAAAATCTGTTATAGACGTACGTGAGAAAAAATTGTGCGCCAAACAAGTAGAAACCAGATCGTCTACTAGCATTCAGAAGAAATTGTAAGTAGATTTAGTGGAACAATGCTTGTTTTTATTATATTTATCATCATTTACAACAAATTATTAATAATGTTTTGTAATGTTAAACAGGTGATAGTTTACATCTAAATTATTATTTATTTTCTTAATTAGCTTTAGTGGCGAATCGGAATTGTTGAGGGAGAATCCCTATACGAATTTCTTCAAACGTCGACCTGATCGAGCTGCTATATGGAGAGAACTACCACCTCTAAGCCTAGAAGAAATGAATCTAAGTCAAAAAGCGGACGCAATAGCCAGATCAGTAAGAGCTTTCTTATTAGAATGTCACAAATTAAACCCATTAGATGTTTTCTTCACGCTTTACTTTAAAACGCTAATTTAAATCGAGTCTAAACATTATTCCTGAGATTCTCATATATACTTTTTGACACCAATATCTTGATATTGAGAATGTGATTTAGTGCTGAACAGAGCCTTAGTCCACAGAACGGTTGTTTCCCATAATATCAATAAAAAAAAGCTTGTGGTTGATGTTATTTTTTGCACAGTTAGATTGGCGTCAAACAGCATATATCAATGATTCAGATTTAATGGCAAAGAGAATTCTTTCAGATAGCTACAAATTTTGTGGAGTGGATAAAAACCCTTGGTGGTGACGAGGAAACGTCAATAAATGTTCAGAGTGTGATGGAAATGTTTGAAATTGCATCGCAAAATGACTCGACTAGGACTTTGAGAGTAGAGTTGAAGGAAATGCCGTCGGTTCCATCAAAAGTAGCCGAATTTATGAGAGTACCCCAGGTAAGTTCAAAAAATTTTTGTAGCCTACACTACTCAACATATTTAAAATTATTATTGAAAGTGGTATACTGTCAAACGAACCAGGATCTCTGCTTTTATTGAATAGTTCAGGCAATGTCCGGTAGTAGAAACATGCAATAATTCGCTAAAAATAACCTGACAAGAATTAATTGTAAAATTGATATCATTTACAACTTACACTTTTAAGTTGAAGTCACATAAGCAGTCTCGGCAACATTTTATGATTATAATTTTTTAATTTAAGCACAAAAATGGGGTGGAATACTCAAAGTACTCATTTAAATCTTCTTTGTCTTTTTGCTAGATCGTTTTAAAAAGATGTCGATTTATAGATTCAATTTTAAAAGACGCAACTATACTACTACTTAAAGGTCTTGTATTAACATATTTATTTGGTCTTTAGATTATCTATAAAAAATAATAATTCGTCCAGAATCCATTGCGTTTATTTTTTATCGTAGGTTCCTTGTCCCTTGTAACCACCTACATAACCTGTATCGTCGTGTAAGTCTTCTCTGCCTGCAGCTCCTTTACCCTTTCCACTTTCGTCGAACCTTTCTTTGTGGGAGCCCGTATATTTAGACGTATCAGTCAACCTATCAACGGCCCCCGTCTTGACAGCCTGCGTTGCTTTGTTGGTACCTGGAAGACCGCACGTCTCCAATTTTTCTTTTATGTTTTCAGGTGGCATCTTTTTTTGGCCGGCTAGGTCGTCTATGAACTTCACAAAATCTGAATAATGTATGGTTTTGGACTTGAATTTGTTGAAACATATGGCCGTGTCAGTGGTTGTCAAGGTCTTGTCAATGGCCCCCGCCTGTTTCATCCATTTGTCGATTTGAGTCAGCGTTATGGTTTTTCCGTCTGCTTTAGTATCGCCGAATTTAGCGAAGTTTATGAACTGTTGGTCTAACGGTACATTTCCAGCCGCCATGTAGGAAAAGTTTGTTTCTTACTGTAAATTTTGACAGTGGCGGTTCATAAATGTTGAAAGATGTGGTATTGTGATCTGAGGTATAAATACAAACTGTAGCTCAGGTCGGTCAAGTAACTGTAAGCAACAATTTTGATTTTCCTTCAATTTTACACATTTAATGAGTGCTATCGTAAGTCCCTTGTCCCTTGTAGCCAGTTACATAGCCAGAATCATCGGCAAGGTACTCTCTACCTTCTATTCCTTTTCCCTTGCCACTTTCGTCAAACCTTTCTCTGTGAGAGCCTGTATATTTAGAAGTATCAGTTAACCTGTCTACAGCTCCCGTCTTCACAGCTTGCGTTGCTTTATTTAACCCTGGAGCGCCGCATGTCACCAATTTTTCCCTGATCTGACCTGCCGGTATCTTCTTTTGGCAAGCCAAATCCTCTACGAACTTCAAAAAATCGTCATAACCTATGACTTTAGATTTGAATTTGTTAAAAGTTATTGCTGTGTCAGTGGTTGTCAAAGATTTGGTGAATATTCCCGCTTGCTTTAGCCACTTGTCGATTGAGGATAATGTTATTGTACTACCGTCAGCTCTGGTGTCACCGAATTTAGCGAAACTTTCGAATTGCTCCTCCAGAGACGGGTCCTCTACTAAGGATGGCCTAGCGGCCATAAAGGTGTTGATTTTTCGCAGATGATTTTGACAACTGATTTTGGCAGTGATTTATACTGAGATATCATGATTCGTGTTTCACAAATATTCAACGGTAGAAAGTGCGCCAGATTTATCTCTTCCTTATATCCGAGACAGCGTAACTGCCCTTCTAGTTATAGGCCAATCAATAAAGGTTTTGTTTGTGACCAAAATACTAGTAGCAAACGAACTACGCCATTATATAAAAGACAGTCTGTAGATATATGCTTATATGTTTACTTCAATTTACCGTAAATTAATTTTTTATAAACATTGTTATTCAGAAAAACGCATTTTTTTAGTTTTTTGATAATAAAACCTAAACTAACGAAGCAATCTGAATGCTACAAACCGACAATTTGTAGAGAATCGAAATACGGATAAAATTAGAGGTCGATCGATTCGATCGGAAAATAAGAAACGAATAAAACAGGAAAAATCGGAAAATTTAGCGTTTTATTTAAATTCATTATTCCCCCATTTTTTAAGTTATAGAGGTGGCCCTGTGCACAAAAGTAGTGTATTATATGTACCTTATGTGTGCACAAAGCAGGCGCTGTCGGACCATTAGTTTTGGCACAATTTTTTGGTGCACTATTTTGCAAAGTTCCTGGATGCGTTGGAGGTGGTCCCATTTTAATTTTTCAGCCGGTTTTTAAAAGTAGAAGTATAATACCTACTACAAAACGTATAATCTAATTTTCCGATAAAATGATGCGAAATAGGTGAAAAATTCCTCTAAACATGCTCAAAAACGGCCGAGCGCGCGTACGCTGTCGAGTAGTGGGGGAAGGTCGAGAGATGAGGGGCAATGGATATAATGGGTGTAACGTAAAGGTTCGGAATAAATTAAACGGTGGATTTTTTGGTTTAAAAAATAAATTTTTCTCATATGAAGTTATGCTCTACGGGTTTTATTTTCCAAGCTACAGGGCACTAAAAAGTTTCCAAAAATTTAGTTTTTCTCCAATAACTTTCGAACATTATAAGATAATGGAACAAAATTTTAGCAACAGCTTAATTTAATTATTTTCCTCAATTCTGACTTGTGTAAATACTTTTGTATGATTAACACCAATAAACAATGTCTAATGTCTAATGTCTAATTATCCCCTAGTAACAGGAAAAAGATTGACTTGTAAGTTGCTCAGTGGCGTGCATACGGATTGTACCGTAATGTTTTTCGAACAAAATTGTGGTATGCCACTGATAAATTTTTTTAATACTTTTTTATGATCAACTTTTTATTTTAAACAAAATTACCCTTTTGCGTTTTATTTCTAGCTCTTGTAATTTTTCCGTAAATAAAACTTTTGTAAATACCATTTTTCCCCACTGCTAACATTGGAAAATAAAAATAACAAAAACATTATGAAGTATGCTGTGACTCAGCCACCGAACATGGTCAAATAGGCATTGAAAAAAGACTTTTGCAAAATGATATTAAAAAGCTAAATTTTTTGAAATTATTTAACGCCCTGTAGCTTTGAAAAGATAACCCGTAGAACATAAATATATATGACAAATATTTATTTTTTTAAATAAAAAATCCAACGGTTAATTTATTCCCAACCTTTACGTTACACCCTGTATAAGTACACAATTTTGAATATTTTTAGTTGTAGTTTAATATTATTGTAAGTGGTAACACATAGTAAATAATAATAATACCAATAAACGGAATCACAATTATGTGGAAACTGTGGACATTCATTCCAGAGCATATATAGTATATTATAAGCTCTGTTTCAAAGCGTATATAGCATATATTTCTGTTCCAAAGCATATATATTTACATGTCCTTGTTGAGGAAATTTTATTACATTTTGTATTTTGCGGTTTATCAATAAACCAAAAATCCTTTTATAAAACTTTTTATTTTTCAAAAAATATTACCCTTAATAAGAAATTCTCAAGACGGTTAAGTGGCGACACACTACGTCCAAAGGCTACACTAATATTAATTATTGTAGATTCCATTTCGATAGACATTAAAAAAGGAAAAATCAATTTTTGCGAACACAACAGGTATCTGCAAAAATATTTAATGTGCATTGATATTAAAGACGCTTAAAATCAATATTTATGTAGGGCAGTTTTCATCAATTCCTTTTATAGGAAACGATAGCCTGACTCAATGAATTCGAATGCTAACGGATAGATGGCGCGGAAATAAACATTTTATATTGTACTATACATAGTCACTGTAATTTTATGTATTTATTTGAAATATATTTTGTTAATTACCTAAACTTTTTGAAAGGTAGTAATATACATATATTTATTTTTTTAATGTATTATAAAAATTTGTTTCAGAAATTATCTAAACAATCTATTTTCCATATTTAATCATATAACTTATAACTTATTTGAACACGTTTTTCTAAATCAGTAACATATATACTCCAATAACATTTATATCTATTTCTAGAGATAATACGATTTATTTCTACATCGTTCCCAGTTTATTGAAAATGAAATTGATGATGATGGCTGTACAATTTATTATTTTTTTCTTATCTTCCAAAAGAAACAAAACTAATTAGAGCTTCATTCCAATTTTTTGATTTGTATCCCTACTGAAATAACAATCGAACGGAACCTTTCCAGTTTGTGGAATTAAAAAGTTCATCTATCGATGTGTTTTTGAAAATATGGTTAAAATTGAATGTTGTATTAGCAACAGATCACGTAAATCTAGTTCTGACTATCATTTGCGTCACACCACTGCATTATTCCAAACAGTAACTTGGTTTTGCCAGTATCACTAAAGTTGGATAATATTCCAGATGTCCAATACTGTCATGCTACATCGAGAAATAAAGAGAGACAAGATGGCTACAAAGAAGAAACGTCAAATCGTCGCTTTTGGGAGGCGGTTGCCCAGTGAAATGCAAGTGAGACCCTTGGACGGGAAGCAGTACAGGAAATGGCAACGATGTGAAAGAGTTCCTGAAAAAATTGCCACAATGGCAGCTGTTTGGCAGGGAATAACCCACTTGAGGTATTCGTGTAGATTAGCAGAGGATGATCAGTTCATCAGTACCCATCTCTAAATGCTATACATTTTCACTCTTCACTGATTGCATGGTGAAAAGTAACTGCGGCTGTAGTTTTTCCATTGCATTAAAAAAATTAAAACTCTTCTTAGTAAGACCAAAGTAGGACTTATTCTAAAAAGAAAAGAACAAGGCTAATGAGTTATTAACGTGTTATTTCCCATTCTTTTCAGGTCCACAAAGGCTTTCTGTGAATTTATATTCAACGAAAAAACTGATATAAAACCACCAAAGTATCTGGTAGACACGGGTATGATGGATCCAAGATCGTTTGCCATGAAGGGAGATAAACGACCAAGCCATGCGTCTTCTTTTGGAGAAGTGTCACATTTAGCTGCAATATTCAATGAAATTTAAGCTTGTGTGTGTTTTATGAAAATAAAAACTCATATACAAATTGCTTGTCGACTTAATTCCATGACTATGACTGTCTTAAAAGATCTGTAGGAATTATCTGGAAAAACAAAATTATAAATCTTTCTAAAGTACAGAATTTATACTAAAATGAATTATTCCAAAACTGCTTCCAAATTTGGCAACTAAACTTTTTACAGTTCGCAGTCTCAGCTACACACTCTCCGTACTTGTACTGAATTTTTCACAATCTTTCAACGTGTTTACTACAAAATGTAACCCTGCAGAATACTTCCAACTCTTCGAATGAAAATGGCGCACAATTTGTTGCGTTACTTTTGGGACATAATTAATAAATGATGACAACAATCGGTACCACTCGGCTCGACTCTAAATTAGTCAGCGGTACTCAAACAATCATTTGGATATATGTACTATTAATCTTTTTCAGACATTTCTAAGTAACTTTTACTAAGATAAATTTTTAGCAATCCGCTTCTTTTATCAAGACCTATATCGCATTAAAAACAAATCTCCAATTTCGTAAGCACAAAAGCAATCTATTTGATTACTGTGACACGAATGAAAAAATCCGCAAGGATTTCCTAAATATACTAAAAAATTTGATGAATATATTACAAAGGTAATATTATTTCGAGCAATAAGCAAAGATGTAAAGGTAGACATTAATCCTAAGTCTCCTTGACTGGCTCTAAAATATCGTGCGTCATATTAATTACGCACGTCGTTATAAATTGTTCACAGAACGTCTAGCTTATGAAATATTATCTTGATTCCTTACTATGAGGACCGTTTAGTTTGGATGTCGAATTGCCTTCTCTTTTAATGTATGTCCGAAATATGTATTATATCTCTAATGGGAGTATTGTTCAGTAGGTATTATTCTGAAGTGGATTGGCCAATGTTCCAATTAAAGTAAATACAATAATCATTTATATCTGCGATTGATTTTGTCATGTATATAGTAAACGGTAAAAAGTTTTTCCACTATAAGGAACGGATATTTGCACGAATTTGAATATTAAAATGTTTTCAAAATAATGTTTACAATATTGGTTCCCATTTTCCGTTTCTAATTTCACAATTTTTTAATTTTCGATTGTTTTTTGTAAACATCGAGTACATAAGGTGTGTCTGCCTTATTTTAAACCAAAAGCTCAGGATTTAAAGCCACTGATTTTCGAGATAAATTTGTTACAGTATAAAAAATATATCACGTTTAATCGAATCTTTTAAAGCGCTTGACATAGATAGATGAAGCTTTGATACATAAGGATTTTAAATTTAAAATGTATATCACACTCATTCTAATATCTCTAAAGATATTTTGTAAAAAAATAATAAACCTATGATAAATCAAATTTATAGTAACAGACATTTCGTTTTTTGTTTTATCACATTTAACTTCCTTTCCGTTAAAACCCTTGTAGCATTGCTGCCATCATTGTCGGAAAACATAATATCTGCCGAAGTTTGTGAAGAATTTGTACAAGTTACGAATGTCTCTTCTTGTAAGGAACAGCTACATTTTCTTTGGATTTTCCTTGCAATATTAACAATAGACTCCTCTACATAACTTTCTGCTACAGAGGGGCTCTTCCATCCACCATGCCTTTTGATGGTTGTAAGATCAGCACCTTCACTGACTAATAAAGTTGTTGAAATGCGCCTCATACAATGGCCAGTACATGCTTCTAGATTTATGATATTCAGGAATGAAGCCACTATAGAGTGTACCTTGATACAGGTTGAGAAGTTCATTTCTGATTGATGTATCTTAAAAAGAATTTGTCTTGTGTCAGGCGAATTGGGCGCGAAGAAATATATTTCCTGCATATTTCAACATCATTCACGCAAAATCCTTCTTCTTGGTGTCAGGTATTGAAACAGGTAGGTAACAGCCAACGCCCTTGAATACTTCGACCACATAGATGAAATTGCATACTTTTTCTTGGCATTTAAAAATACGATAGCATGATTTCTTCATTTATTGTCACTATTCTCCGTTTTTCCCTCCATTCGTTAAATTCGGCGAACACTTTTTTGTAATGTTCCCTGGATTTCGCTGGCAATAAATGGAAAATTGCTTCTTGAGCTTCTTCAAAAACAGCCACAGGAACACAATTACTTTCTTGCATTTTTACCATATTCAGGTAAGTAGAACTGTTTATTAAATAATTGATAATAATAATTATTTTACATGAACTGCGTGCTTATGAAGATTTGTAACGAATGTCACTTATGGTAACGACCATGTTATTCTCCTTAAAGCAGATTATAACAAACCCTTCCCCACTACAAAATCATGTATTGTATAAAGTAATATTACAAAAAATTAATGGGAATCTTTGTCTACAATTTTCGAATCATTTTGATATGATGTTTATTTCTCAACATTTGTTATTTCCCATTTCTACATCTCGAAGTAACATTTTTATATCTTGCCATNTCTCCGTTTTTCCCTCCATTCGTTAAATTCGGCGAACACTTTTTTGTAATGTTCCCTGGATTTCGCTGGCAATAAATGGAAAATTGCTTCTTGAGCTTCTTCAAAAACAGCCACAGGAACACAATTACTTTCTTGCATTTTTACCATATTCAGGTAAGTAGAACTGTTTATTAAATAATTGATAATAATAATTATTTTACATGAACTGCGTGCTTATGAAGATTTGTAACGAATGTCACTTATGGTAACGACCATGTTATTCTCCTTAAAGCAGATTATAACAAACCCTTCCCCACTACAAAATCATGTATTGTATAAAGTAATATTACAAAAAATTAATGGGAATCTTTGTCTACAATTTTCGAATCATTTTGATATGATGTTTATTTCTCAACATTTGTTATTTCCCATTTCTACATCTCGAAGTAACATTTTTATATCTTGCCATAAATTTGAAGCCACTGTGTACACATTTTTCTACGATTTCGTCAAACGACGTAATATACCTAATCCGAGAACGATAACAATGGAAAATAGTTCTGAATATCCCCATAGACGTGGTACAATACAGATTATGTTATTAAATGGATTGGTAGCGAAAGCTTAAATGAAATCAGATTGGGTTTTTGTTCAAAGAAAATTTTCTACCGTGACGAAATAGACTTATGCCTCCCATTGGCGTTTCTATAATTTTATAAGCTTGATAAATTAGTCATGTCAAAACAATATCGAACAAGTATAAAAAATTCTGGCACCTTTAATTCCTTATATTTATTGTCTTAGAATATCAAATATCTTATCAAAACATTATTATAACCTAATCCCAATATATCCCAATACAATAATTACATTTTTATTGTACATTAATTACAGTTGATAAGTTAAAGTAGGTAGTACGTTTCTTAGCACCCTCAGCAAATGTCGTTTGCACTGAAAATCTAATTAGCTTCTGGGTTTTCCTTTGATAAGGTAAAAGTAAATACCTATGATCAGGATGAAGCCTGAAGAAGAAAAAATTGAAGACGTCGGCAACAATGAGAGTGTATTGAAAGACGGTGGGTCCGTGTCCAGCATCAATTCAGTTATTATAAAAAAGGAAGAGGCACAAAAAACTGACGAAATGGAAGACAAGGGGACTGCAACAAAAAGTGATGAAAAGCAGAACCTATTTTATTTACCCAAGGTACGTATATAAATCATAGCTTTTTTAATTGGACATTGGACTGCTCGGATTTTTATGATAAAATTTGCTTATTCTCTATTAACAAATTATTAATACTTAATTATTAAGGAAATTCTAAATCTAAATTTTGTTTTAATATGAAGGATTGCTAAATTTTGCATCTTATATGATGTCACCAACAGAATAAGATAAAATGACAGCTACCATCCTGACGTGAAGATTTACAATTCACGTTGCTTTCATTGCTTTCAGGACGGGATGCAATAAGTACACTAAATAATTATTTGATAAACGAATTTGGTGTTTAGAATGTTCATATGAATCTGTCAAACCATTTTGTGTATCTACGAAATTTTTCAGTAAAACTCCACAAACTTTGCGAAAGCATAAATTATTAGGTAATAGGTTTTACTATGACAAATTTTGACAAATCACTCTTAATTATTTTTTTAGTAACGATTTTCTTTTGTGTTGGAATTGCTGTTTGGAAGGCAATAAATGTACAATTATTGAGGAAGACAAAATTCATGATTATTTTGCTCTTTACTTCGTAACACTCAAAACATTCATAGTATATGTCGAAAATAAATATTTATGGATTTAGTCAAAAGTTTGCATTTTATGGGGAATTTTTTTTTTGTCTAACAAGGCCATAAAATTGGCTGAAGCGTACGTTAAATCATTCCATTTGATTTCACTTTGTTCATCAATGTCTTTGGTTTAATGTCACATTATTCGCTTTTTCTTCACAGACGCTGAAGTAGCCTACAATCGCTGGCGATTTCAACATTAAACGTTTTAGCTACATGACAAAGTCAGTAGCGTCATTAAGAAATTTAAAAATAATTGCAATGTGTTTAACTAAAATAAACTTAGGTACTTTTCATTTTATTTCAAGTGAAAAGCTCGATCTTAGTGTATCCGTATCATTAAAATAACTCCCATAGTGGTCTCTATAAATGTGCCATGCAGGGTCGATAGGGATCTGCAATAAATTTCCCAAGCCTGCGCTTTAGTTACGCACTGAAATGTCAAACTCTCAATATGACATCTGAAATGTGACAATTCTCATTAAAAAAATTGCATTCTACTGGGTAGATGCGACGTCGTAGGGTTCAACTTTGATGTTTCGAGATACTTATCGCTCTCTCCTTCAGAAGATACTGCGAAAGTAATTAATTGTAAATAAGCTATTTTAGAAGGTAATCACAAATGTACAAAATGTCTGTAAAATTTATTTCAAATGTAAAAGGCAAAACAGAAATCTAGTGGCAATATACCTGTAAAATATTCATCGCGTTTTTCCTTCTATTCGTTAAATTCGGCGAGCACTTTTTCGTAATGTTCCCTGGATTTCGCTTCGATTGTGGAAAATTGCTTCTTGAGCTTCTTCAAAAATAGCCACAGGAACACAATTACTTTCTTGCATTTTTACCAAATTCAGATATTAATCGCTCGAACTATGTTCTTGCGTTGATAAATGCTACTTAAAACACTTATACAATAAATAACTATAAAATGGGGTAAGACAGATATAAAATAATGACCGTATCTTAAAAAGTTGTGAGAGTCAACAACCGTTTTTTCTTTAGTTGTTGGTACTTACAGTTTTAATAAATGGTTTTGTCTAATCTCACATTAAAAAATGCAGAAAAATACAGTTGGTTAAAAATATATCAAAACGAAAAAAAAACTAAATACGTTACAAAGAAGTAAATTCAGAAATTGATAAATATAGAAGTTATATGAAATGAATTTTATACTAGATCATACAAATTGAACATAAAAGTGGTGTTAAAATACGAGTTTTCATTTTTTTTAACGGAACAGTCTCTTTATTTTTAGACAGATACTTACACTTACTTACATTTAAAATGGTATTAGAACTGATTTACCTCCAAGTAAGAACGGCGTGACCAAAGTAGCGAGACATAATGTTATAAGCTTAAATATTAGTTTTTAGGCAGTCAAATATTTTTATAACAATGGTAGAGACATATGACATGCTTTTGTCAAAGTTATTTATTTATGACAAAAAAAATAAAATTTAATTAATTAAAGCCTTGCACCAAATGGATCAGTTAATGGTTAGTTCATAAAACTATGTTTAACCACAAATTCTCGCATTGGAAAAGGCAAATAAAAGTATTTTTTCAAAGAGAGGCACAATTTCATAAAAAAAATCCTTGATTAATCCTTTTGGCGTAAGGCTTTTCTTAATGACAATTTTTTTTACAGAGGTGGTAAAATTGCTAAATAAACAGGGGAAAAAAATCAATGTCCAATCGTTTAACGCTTCAGGAAAATATGTAAATGACAGGTGATTTGTTGAATGCAGAAAACGTATCTGAGCACACTCTTCCTATATTTAACATTTGCACATACAAACGAAAAATTAGTTACCTCACTTGAAATTCCCACGAGTATAAAACGTGTTCGTCATAATCTCTTCTTTAATTGATGCCTACTCGTTCCACTTTAAATTTAGCTTTTGAAGAATTCGATTCGAAAACAATTAATTAAACATTAATCATTAATGTCAGGTATGATTAAGTTATTTTTATATCAACATTTTATCATATTATGTACAATTACCCCTTCAATTAAATAACTGTTAATCTTTTAATTAACAGGTATATTGAAAGAAACTATTATATTTTAGATACGGAAGTATATGAATTACCTAAATTACAAGTTTACAAAAAAGATATTCAATTCCAGTGACGTATCTTAATATTTTTTATTAGCTTTTATTTTCTGGGCGTTTTACCACAATGTAAATTAAATAATTCCAAAAAATAAAACGATATATGTAGTACAAACACATATTTTCAGAAAATTTTTGGTAAGTATTTGCGGCCTTTGTTTTACCATAAAACTAATCATTTCCAACATTTATTACTGCCATTTACTCAAATATTTATACCTTATTTTTTATAGTGGTACAATAAAATCATTCAAGCCTATTAAATTTAATCCATGCTTATATTTGCTTGGCATCAATTTAGGTGATTTTAAGCATCACTTCCAATAATCCAATAAATTAATGATTGCACAGAAAATCTAATTTACTCTGATAAATATCGAGAGTGTGTAAGCATGCATAGTAAGTTGGTAAGTAAATAGTTTTAGAAAAATAAAAATAAAATATAAGAAACAGTTTGTCATTTTGATTTTGAAGTAAACCGTAATACAATTTTTTTTATGTTTTGAATATTATACCAATTGTAACATTTTAAAAACTTTTAAACGATAGTTCAATTTTTTTAAATGTTTATCTTTCATTTTTGATCATTGTCCACTGCATTTTTAATTGAGCTGCAAATCCCGGATTATTGAAAACAATGCTTCCACGACACTATCGAACATATTTCAGATTGTTTCGCATTAAGTACCCTTCGAATGAAGAATTCCACAAGATTGATGAAATCCACAAATACTTTACAAAACAACATTAATATTTCTCCATTTCAACTCAAAACTCTAAAACTATTTTTGAAATTACCTAAGGAACCAAATTAGGAAAAACCACATAAGCATATTTTTAAAACACCAAAAGCGTCATATTACTGTTTAGCAGAAATAACCTTTTACAATATTTACGTTTCTGTGAACCATATTTGTTAAACGTTTTATTGCAACGCCAATAAAATCATTAAAATTAATAAACTAATTTGTATTTACATTGCGATTAATGTATTAATAAAATAAAAATATTTTCCATATTTATTACGGGAAGGAGGGGTTTAGGAGGTACTGACAAAAAAACATACAGGGTGATTCACAAATGGTGACCGAAAATGAAACCTCGTATTCTTTGGTGAATTGTAAGAGGAGTCTTTCCTATAAAGTTTTTATCTAGAATGCTTCGTTAAAAAGATACCTACAGGGTGTTAAATTTCAAAAAAATATTTTTAATTTTTTTAAATAATTTAAAAACTAGTATCTAAGTGAAATAATTTGAAATTGGACACATGTATTTACAGGGTATCGGTGGCATATTTTTCTAAATAAAATAGTACGCCACTGCTTTACGGTAACAACCATGATATTTTCGGATTCGTCTTTCAATTTTCTACAAATTACTATTCTCTTATGTTTTTCAAATAAAGCCTGTTTTGTACCATTTGTGAATCACCCTATATATATTTATCCAAAAAAGTACACGATTAAAACGTCATTGGCCATAAATTCATACGTTAATTTGATTTTTTGTTAAGAATTAATGTTTAAAATAACATTTAACAATTTCTTCTAGTATTAATCTCAGTCAAAACGTTATATGACCTTACATTAAATAATTTTAATTTTTTTTCTACATTTTTTTTTTCAGGGTGACAGCCCAATTCCAAGATCTCCATCCATGGGCGATAATCGATCTGACACCAACACCGACATTCTCCTAAGGCCAAAAAGTACTGTGGTATCGGCAGTAGTCACGCCAAATAGAAATCTACTGGGAACGAAAAAATCCAATTCAACTGCAGATTTGCAAAAATACGGACAACTGCGGAAACCTCCAACTGGCAAAGTAAGTGAAATTAAAAGAATATATCTATAGAACCCTTTGTTTTATAAAAATATATGAAAACCGACATAAAAAAAAAACAAAGATCGATGTCTGACCTAAATATAAAACAAATTATTACAAAAATGTAGCCAAAAGAAATCAATACATTTTAGAACATGCCTATACAGGGCCTCCAAGATAGATTGGTGTCAAAAGTCAATGCCTACTAATTGTGATGTAGAACCCACTGAAGTTGATATCACGAAATTATTTTATGATATTCTAAAGCTGTTTTAGTTGGAGACCTCTTATTTAGTATTTTGAATGAAATAATTTATTTGGTTGTAATCCGTGTAAGTCCTATTATTTTAGGTTCCCTTGCCTTTTAATAACCCATAACTTTTTTATTCGAATGCATATAACACAAATATCTTCTCTGAAATATCTCTGATGAAATTTTGTTCATATAAACTTCGTTGCTTATTTTTATAAATAGAATCGTTCCTTCAGAAAAAAAAAAACAAATTCCCTAAAACTCTGTATTTTCTGGACACGCATATTATTTTTTTTACATATACAAGAAATAATATATTTCACTCGAATAGACAATAATATGTACCAGATAAGAAACTTCTTACTAGACCGTTTTAGAGTGATATTAAACAATGTTTTGTTGTACCACAATTAGCGATTATATTTGAAGTAGTTTTATTACAACCATATTAATAAAAAGCAACAACTTTGTTTCTAATATTTTTTTTGAAAACCTTTTAATTTCGAAAATACAAAAACAAGATAATGGTATAATAATATACGGAATAATCATGATTATGCATGTTAGTAGAAACTATGAAAGAATCAACGACATACTTGTTTCTTGTTATACATTTGTTTACATTCCACGAACAAATCATGTTAGAGAATGATGAATTAAATGCAAATAAGAATGACGAATAGAAATATATCTATTTACAGATAGTGGCGTAATTCTGAAAATTTAAAAAAGAGACGCTTTATCTGTATCGCAACATAATATTTACGAAAATATATTTACCTTTCCCAGTTTTTCCAGCTTCTGTTTTGCAATTTGCGGTGTCACAAACATGAATATAAAATAAACAGTTAAATAAACTACAATAAATTCACTGAAATTAAATTTATGGTTTTATTGGCAGTTTGTTGAAGTACATGGTAAACAGTAATAAATTTATAAACAATCGTTTTTATATGAACTATATAATTTCAATTGTTCTTGAAATAGACAGGATATAAATAAAATTATTTTGTTAATTAACCCTGTAGGCATGTGACAATTCTTTACAACAGTATCACTAGTTGCTAATTTATATTTTAGATTATTACTAATAGCTGTAGGATTATATAGGCATATGACGCGCAAAATATTCAGTGATTACCACGTAGTGCTGTTTATGTTGATAATTTCAAATTAATCTACTGCTAATCCGTCTCAAGAGATATAATGATAGAGAACTGTAAAATTATATTTAATGTACTTTAGATGGATTAGCAGTTGTATCAGCTCAGAAGTATATTATATTCCAGAAAGTATTTGCAATGCTCAATTAATTATTTCAAAGAACTGAGAAAATAAACAACACAGGGTGTTCAGATCTGCTCTGGAACATTCCTTTCAAATTTTAGTGTGTCGTAGGATTTCAATGATTATTTTTTACATACAGTATGTCCACGAGTAGAGTGAAAAAGAGGGAAAATATTTTTATTTTTCACTACGAGAAAAAGGCATTCTTGCTTAAAATTTTTGCTTGACTTTAAAATGCGGTTGGCATAGATAACTCTCATCTTACATGTACAGGGTGATCAGAAAATCGGTAAATATAAAAATCGTTCCGAGTAGGCCGATTCATACACAAATTGAAATTATAATATAACTTTCAATTCTAAGCAACTTTCCTTAATAACATATTTCTGTATAGTTAAAAACTAAGGCAGTTTATTCTTGAACGATTTTAAATTTACCGATGTTCTGATCAAACAAATAACTTATTTTGACATATACATAGATGATATATCATACCTTCTCTTTTTTACACTTAGTATCCAGGTATTGCGAATCTTTAAAAACTGAACATGTGCAATAATATGGAGCTAATATTATCTTCAGTCTGTATAATAAGCAACTCTTCATTCAAATCCCTTGCAATGCCTTTCCGATCTCAATAGAAGAACCAAGAGATTGCCGATATGTACCAAGTTCGGTTGCTGACGAAGCAACTCGGCATTGAAATATTTGAAAAACTTGTTCCCATATTTATATAGCCATATCTATATGACAGGTCTGGTCGCCCAATTGAAGAATGAACGAGCGAGCAAACGCGGCACAAACACAGCCGCACTGGGCGACCTAGCCATAAATTCAGTTGTCAACAAATGGCCTAGCAGTGCAGTGCAGCAATGCGGAATTTGGTGTGATTCGGGTAATTTTAATTCATTATAGGCACCTTCTATTAATCATTCATATTACAATTTGCGAAAGGGAGAAATCAGAGGAATATTTTGTTTACTAATATTATTACATCATGGCATTTTGGGGACCATTTGAAACGGAAAGACCATACTAGCTTTGTTCTTAGAGAAATCCAGTTTCCAGCAATCAGACGAATGCGTATTCGCATATTATGCTTAGGTAAGGTTCAAAATTCATTGTTTCGAATGAAATGCGACTGTAGGAAACTGTTTCTATTGGACTAGGAAGAAAACTACTATCTCATAATAAAGAATTAGATGACACCGAAATGGCGGATGCTTTATGTGTTTAAGGATAGAGCAAACGAAAATAGTCAAAGAGCTCAACATCTTAATTCGTTTAGATAAAGATCCGAATAGGGTTCCATCGCACCACCGACTTTACCAACGACTGATGAAACCATATCTTTTGAGATTAGAGTAAATGATCAGTCGTTCTCGTACGGTTCGAATGAATTTTGTCTAGGATGGAAGACAATTCAAGAACATCAGTTCGAGGAATTAACTTTATGGAGCATGCCAAATGCCAAATTTTGTGGCTTTGGCATCCTTACTGTGTTCACAGACTCGAGTCTCTTGGACCCGTAGATTTTGTGGCAAGAGTGAACTTTTGTATATGATATTTAGAGAAATTTTCTGAAAATCCAAAATTTTCGACTCGAATTTGATGAACTGATGACAAGCTTTGCAAAAAATGGTATCATGAACGTTCACAATATACGTTAGTGGTCACCTATACCTCATGTACGTAAAGAAGTCCAAACTTTTTATTCTGCTCTTCTGTATGAAAATCAACAATTTATTCCTAGAAAAGCTCCATCCCAAAGTCACCATCATCTGTGTCTTAAAAATGTATGGCACTATACCAAATAAAAAAACTGATGCACCACTGTTGTTCCTAAAAATATGTTGTTTATCCACCTTTTTAAGGGCTGCAACTCCCTTGAGAAGCATTTTAGGGCATATAATCATCAGCAATATTTTTGACATCTTGCAGAAGTATGGTTCTTACTTGCACAGATTAGAACAATATTTACGAATAGAAGAAATCAGAACTTTGATAAATAATTTATCATGTGTACATACATTTTCTTAAACAATGTGAATATGAACAATTTTACTTTTTGGTTAAAACAGGAATTGGTCTTTTTTGAGAACCGCATTCAATTAATATTCACGCAATTTCGTATAACAATTAAAAGGCAAATTGCAAACGTTCACTGCGACTATGGCACTGTAAATAATTTGTTTCTCTTCAGTTCTAAACCAAGGCAGCATGTCAGTGAAGAGAAATCCACAAAATTGGCGCTTTTACCTTTTAACAAGACCATCGCATTGTTTAGTTAGACCGTACGCAGTCAAATAACGTGATTTCTGGCGTGGTTCTCTCATGCGTTGAGGAAACACGAGGAGGCTTGAAAGGTACGGGGGATAAATCGCGGGGATTTCGAGGGTTTTGGACGTTAAGTGGCCGAGTGAAAAGTGACTGATTGGGAGTAGAGTTCAATAAAGGGATATTCGTTGCCCTAGTGCGAGCGGGACGAAAGCCGTTCGTGTTTGACCAGGTTTAGAATATTATTTGTACAGGCATGTTTGGCGGATTGACAGAAGGACATGTGTCAGTTTAGCGGAAAATACTTTGGTCGGCGTGGAAAATATTTCGATTTTAACAAATTTTTTCAAATTAATGTCCACTGTGCTTCGTTATCCTTGAACTGAAACTCCTTTTCATTTAACAAAGTACCACAATATTTGTATAGACGTCGCTACACAAAATAAGTTCGTAATGAAAATTGTACCACTATATCAATAATAATATAAAATTTTTATAACGACAAAGACGAACTAATAATTGTCCAATGCACAATGTGATAAAACTTATGAAGCTTTATGGGATGATGTGATGCTAGAAATTGGATTGATACAAGACCATTCATCAATAAAGATGCCAGACATAAATTACTAAATTAAATAATTATAAAACCATTATAGTGGTCCTGCTTTAATTGTCTACATAGCCCTCTAAAGTCTTCTGATATTCGCCAATTTATTGGTGGAAAATGTCACTTTCAATTAATAAAATTATGTGACCCTCTAATCCTGCGCTGAATTTATTCCCTAGGATCCGAAATTAAATGTCAGAGATAAACTAAGTTATCGGAGATTACGTCAGTTGGAACATATTTTGTGAGTGGAATATAGATGAATTATATTCAACTTGGATTTTTCTTTGCAGACTAAAAATTAGAAGTATATAATAGTAGTATAATTACCGTTCTGCCTAAATTTGAGTTTTATTTTCCTTAAACATATGTGTTCTAACAGAAACAAAAAACAAAAATGGTTTATAAAAAACTAGAGAAAGGAAGGAGGGGAATATGACAATAGTAAGCGTATTACAATTTTTCTCCAAAATAAGATCTTTTTTATTTTTACTCATCGTTGTACATTTAGATTCATAGGATATTTTTGTTACTTTAATATTTCTAAGTTTCTAAAGATGACTAAAGCAAAATAGTATTCTTAAAAATATATTTTATACACAATCACCTTATAATCGGACTTTTATGCACACATATGAACCGTCTAAAGTGATACTTTATCCACTAGTGGAATAAAGTAACTTTATTTCACTAGTAGAATAATGAAAAAATAATAAACCTTTAATAATTTAATTTATATTAACATTAACATTTACATTTATAGTAATAGATATTTCGTTTTTTTTGTTTTATAACATGTAACTTAATAACAACCCTTGTAGCATTGTTGCCATCATTTTCGGAACGCATAACATCTTGGATCTTTCTTGCAATATCATGTTTGTTGGATATAGACTCCTCAACATAACTTTCTGCTACAGAGGGTTTCTTCCATCCACCATGCCATTTGATGGTTGTAAGATGTTGAAGTGCGCCTCATACAATAACCAGTATATGCTTCTGGATTTGCGATATTCAGGAATGAAGCAACTATTGAGGGTACCTTCGTCAATGTGTTGATTCGAACAGGCTGAGAAGTACATTTTTGAATGCTTAAAAAGAATCTGTCTTGTGTATTTCTTTGTATCCTCTCGATTCACTCTTCAAATAAGCAATAACCTTGTTATATTTTCCAATATCTATACTTTTGTAGACCTTTATAGTAGCCTTCAACATCGAATACTTCGACCACATAGTTGAAATTACATATTTTTTCTTCAAATTCAAAAAATACGATAGCATGACTTCTTCATTTATTGTCATTACTCTCCGTTTTTTCAATAAATGGAAATTTGCTTCTTGAGCATCTTCAAAAACAGCCACAGGAACACAATTACTTTCTTGCATTTTTACCAAATTCAGATGTTTATTAAATAATTGTTACTAAACAACATACCTTAGCAACCGGTAGGTATAACAAAACGTTCCACGTTTCATTGCGTACTAGCAAGAAATATCAAGTCATGCGAATATTTTTTTATTAAATTCCAGTAATTCTGACTCCACAAATATGATTGTGATGTGATTATGGATAAAACGTTGTATTGCATTCGTGTTTTAATTGCCTTTTATCCACATAAAATGCTACTTAAAATACTTATACAATAAATAACTTTTATTAGTTTATTTCGAAAAAGTCCCCAACAAATGCTTTGAGGTTTGCTTCTGTTGGTCTGACTGCAGCAGAAGAAACTGGCGTACCAAGCATTTTCCGAATCGTTACAAATTAAAAACATTTCTTCTATATCTCCCACATAATCGTTACCATCATCTTCTTCCAGATACCTAATGAATATGGAGGAATCAGAGAATTTCTTGTCATCATCAAATTTTATTTTTCTTCTTGCATCTTCCTGGAGTTTCAGTTTTCTTCTTTTGGTTTTCTTCTTTTTTCCGATTTTTCTCTATATTTTAAGATATCCTTAACAAGAATGCTAGTTATATGCACTGAAGGTAACATATTAAGTTTTGAATCCGATCCAAAAATTACGTATATTATCGCTTCTATAAATAATCTTAATAATCTTAGTTTGAAATAATTAAATTAATTAATTTAAATTCCATAACGTTGTTAATCGAATGTTTTATTGAAATAGTAAAACGTATATATAAATTTTATAAGACACCTTATTCCAACAAACGAGCTGATTTTCTTTGCAATAATAAATTAACCAACTGTAGATTCAGTGTACTTCCTATAATAATACTAATTCTTTTTTTTTACTTTTAGAACAAAAATGAAAATATGGTACTACAACTAGTGCTACCCTCTACCAACCGAAACAGCAACAATGATACTAACTACCTAACAGCTAGATCTGTGGACGACATTTTAGGTATGTAAATATCTAATACATCTGTTTAAGCTTTGTTGAAATATTTTTGACTTACCACTTTGATACAATAAAAACTTTTTGGAACCGCTGACGCTGGCTCTATCGATAACGTGTTGGTGCATGCCTAATTGGAAATATTATATTGTTTTTGAGGCCTTTAAAGAAGATTGGCATACATTGATTTAAAGATCTTTTGACCAGATATATTTACATGTTTTTACTGTTTTGGAGAAGGAATAATTCTGCATGAAATAATATACATTACTCTTATGTTCGTCAGACAATGGCCACTTGAAGGAAAGGAATGTCAGACCGCACAGCGTCCACACCCAGCAGGACCTCTACCTATCCCCGCCGAATGGAGCCTACCTAAATCGCGCTTACTCCGCGTGTGACCTCAGAGAATACGGGCATCCCGGGGAGTCCCCGGGAGCGTATTCCGTATCAGCGACTCCTACTTCATTCCAGGAAAACGAAAAGCCCACACCGCCCGAGGAGAAAAAGCGGGCCTTTTCGTAAGTATAATATATTGTCCTTGTTTTAATAAAGAAAAATATGTGTCTAATTAGATTTAGGCTTTATCAAATAACAAATATAAATTCGTTGGGGGTTACATCGGATTTAATCTCGAGCCCAGTTTTTTTGTTCACGTCACGAACCTCAAATATAAGAAAAAAATACTTCGTTCTCGACATACTGATGCAATTAAAAAGAAATCTGAGGCAACTTTATGTACTGCCATTTATTTAAGAAATATACTGTTTTGTACGGATAGTATAGCCATAAAAACAAATTGGAACGGCATTTACTTATTACTACAAACTATGGGAACAGACAAAGACAACGCATTTGGATATGAAAAAGGGTGGTATCGCTTAGTAATAAGGACATTTACCTTGATTTAAGTACAAGTGAACCAAATACGAGTTTACGTGAAGAATTTATTTAAGGTGGACCTATATTTGAGTGAAAGTACTCGGTTTTAGTTTAAATATAATCACAAATGAGTAAAATGATCAAAATGACCAATATTGATTGAAAATGTACTCAATAAATTCACTCAATGAATTTCATAGAAAAAATATTTCGTATTGTGGAGCTTCGATTCATCCTCAGGAATAGAGCAATTTTTTGACAAAATTTAATAGTTGCCATGTAGCCGGCATATGCCGGCACAAAAGGAGATCGATTAGGGGATTAGAGCAAAACGGACGCGACAAAATAATAGCTATGTATTACAGTAATTGCCCCTCACCGAGGAAATGGTAATTGCATTTACAATTATACATTGTCACAGCCACTACTCTACCGGAATACGAAATAATAGTCGAATTATTTAACGTATTCTGATCCAAATGAGTGATTCTCGCTGAGGTTTTCGGCTAATTCGTAAGGAAGACCTCTGATTCGAAATTAATCTAAATTAATAATTAATCCCTATTGTGTGTAGGTAGCGGGGTTTGTAACGAAAAATTAGATTAGTCTTTCGTTGACTCTTATATAAAAAGAGGATTAAATTGTCACAATTAGCTATGATTTAATGCCTCTGTTTATGAATGCTTCCTGCTTTTAATTATAGGGGATTTCAGAATGTTTAAAAGAAAACTTTTGAGGAAGATTTATTTCGCAACATCGAAATAGCCTAAATTGAATGAACTCTCTAACTGAAAGTTTTTATTTTCCAAAACTAATACTGAATATTTTTAAACAAAAATTACGTAAAACAAACTTGTTGCATATTTTATATTGTTTTGGATTTAATTAATTTTAGATGTCTAGCAGAGGCCGATGAAGTGGCTGAATAAGAAATAGTTTTAGAAACATACTGTATTTCGATTAGAATTTTAGAACTATTTAGTAGTACCTACTTTCTTTAAATGCGTCTCTATCTACTTTCCTGTTATTTACTTCGTTGGAATATGTAAAGTGACCATAGTATAGTTCACCTAAACCAGGCAGTGGCACGAAATAAAGCAATACGCATGCCTCAATCAATCCTAGTATAGGTATTTGGTATATCTCATATATCATTTGATATACATCCTAAAAGTTCTAAACGAATTCTCGTGCATATCCAAGAAATCCTTGTACATCCTCATAGGTGTACACCATAAAACTCCTTGTGTCCCCTTCTTGTGTTTAAGTGCACAATATGAAGGTTTTGTTATTATATTCTCATTTATTTTGTTTCTGTCGTTATTTTCAGGGGGTTACTAATAAACGTCCTTAGTGTATTCTATGCCTTGTTTAACGTGACCTTAGGGTTGGCTGTATATGTAAGCGATCTTATTGAAGGAACTAAACATGTAGCTGAGGTAAATCTTTACACTATAATATATATAAATTAGTTATAGAATTTCTTTTTTTTTTTCAATAAGTGAAACATTTTCAAAAGCGAAGTGCTATTACTCGCTGTATTTTTTATAAACAGAAATTAATGAAAATGCTGTAGAACCTCGATATTCTGAATGCCGATAAGGTTCCACTGTATATGGATTATTTCAAACTACCCGAAGCTATACAGTATGTCCATGGTTAGGGTGAATAAGAAGAAAAACTTTTATTCTACATTTTACAGAAAAAGGTACACTTGATAAAAAGTTTTGCTTGAATTTAAAATGAGGTCGCCATGGCGAAACTTAACATTTCATGTACAGGGTGTCCAGAAAATAAAGAAATCTGAAAATGTCACGAGAGTACACTACCTTTATTTTTTATATTTCTGAAAAGTGACACTAGGAAAAGTTGTTCTTTTTTATTTCAAATAGAAAGTTGTGAATAAAATGACATTTTATTCTTCACTTGTGTCACTGTACTTCGCTAAAAACTTCCAACAATAATTAATTATCAGCAAAAAGTATATCTAATACAGTGCTACGGCAAGGGTGATAACAGTTATCTCCAAGTAATTCAATGTATGTATGTCGGAGGGTGGTGGAATTGTTTTTCCACCGCGGCACTTAGGCCTTATTAGGCCTCTTGTACACCCTCCTTCATTACTCGAGTACTTTTCTTCAACTTTTTCTGATAGCATGGTCTTGAGTTACAGAGATTTTCTTTACTCTGTTCTCATTACCATTTATCGGGGACCACACGCATGCGGAAAATATTGAGCGACCCAGATCTCTGGTAGGCTGCCACAGCCACGTTCCAGAGTCTGCCTTAGGTAACCCATCCAAATTCCAGCCTGCGTCCGTGATGCTTACCTCGGCAGATCGAAATTCACCGGCCAAGACACCCGGCTAGGCGGTCCCCAAGTAATTCAATATTTCAATGAAAAATACCCAGTTGGGCAGTAGTTCAAAAATTTGTTTGAACCAGGTCAAAAACTGTGATGATGAAGATGCCGCTACTCTAGTTCTACAGTCAGTGAATGAATATCCAACCATGTCACTGAGGAGACGCTCAGAATACTGACCCACATACAAACAATTTTTAAACAAAATACAATTCTGGCATACAAACCAATTCACAACCACACTTTGGGGGAAGGTGATAAAGCGAAACGTCTCGATTTGTTTGTCTGTGGATCGGAGGTATGGAACGAAATTTCCATCAATAGATTGTTTTCGGACGAATCCACTTTTTCTACAAATGGCACTGTTGCTTCACAACATATTTGCGATATTGGAGTACCGATAATCCTAATTTTAGAATATCATCTAAGCGGCAATATTTCGCAAAAGTGAATGTTTGGCGTGCGGTATTCTTTTATGGAATAATAGGACCATACTTCTTTGAAGAAATGGAATGGAAACAGCTACCTGAATATGCTCCAAACGTTTTTTACAAATACTAATAAATTAGACAATTTGCCACTGACCTACCGAAATTGTTTTTATTTTCACCATGACGGTTGTCCGGCGCATTCTGCTGTAACTGTTAGGACCTGATTACAGAACACATTTCCCAATCGCTGGATTTGCCGGCATGCTCCATATCAATGGCCCCCGCGATGTCCAGACTTAACAATCATGTACTTTTACTTGGAGCCGCGGCCGACTCAAACAGATAGCAGGCCTTTGGACAATAACATCGAGCAGCTCAAATGAAATTCCTTGCACGCCTTCAAATTTGTGTAAACGTTGGCGGAGGAGTGTTCGAATAATGTTTTATTCTACATGACATTTGTTTCCAAATTTATTATGTTCTGTAAAAAGTTAAACCAATTTTGTGTGCGAATTGTTTTATTTAAAAACTCAAGTAACTTTTTTGCATGTCTTTTGCATAATATCACTTTTCAGAAATATTAAAAATAAAGGTAGTTTACTGTCGTGACTCGAGACGTATTCAGATTTTTTTATTTTATGGACACCCCGTACTGAAATGTTAAGTTTCACCATGGCAACCTCATTTTAAATTCAAACAAAACTTTTTATCAAGTGTGTCTTTTTCCGTAAAATGTAAAATAGAAAAGTGTTTTCTCTTATTCACCCTAACCGTTGACATACTGTATAGATAATACTATTTTTCTGATATTTAGAAGAAATATTCTGGAGAAATTTCAGAATTTTGTCAGATCTGTTGAGTCTTATTCTCTTCAGAATAATTTCAGGATTTATTTGGACTTGTTCAGGTGTTTCTTCTAATAAAAGACCTACTTCGTATTTAACAGTTTAGCCATTTCGGCTCATTTTAAATTTTAATTTCTATTCTATTTATTCCAGATTTTCAGTTTGATATTGGTAAGCGTGGCCTTCCTATACATATTGTTTTTAACTGTAGACATCCACTTATACATGAAGAAGAAAAGACGATACGAAAAAATATTAGAAAAAAACATGGCGGACGCCATCGAAATGAAGGAGACGGCGGAAGGACATTTTCAGTTCAATATAGCGCTGCCCGAGGTAGTAACTCTAAAGCGTCCTTTAGAACATCACTACTGTTTCAAAAAGGACCGTCACTCGGCCAATTTCTATTTGAAGGTCGGGGCAGCAGGTAAGATACTTTTGTTTTGTATCAAATCAAATGGTGTTCGTTAATCCTACCAGACAATCAACTTTTTATAATAAAAAAAATATTATGTAGATTTTTCTATACATTATTTGTTTCAGTTTTCTGTTTTGGCCACTTAATACACAGCGGCCTAATTATAGGATATCAACTAGTCTTTTTAACAAACAATGAATCAGCTTTCTACGAATGTGCGTCCGCTGCCACTCTTGCGCTTGACGTCTTGTATCCAATATATTCATTCCTCTTGCTATTTTTCATATTCAAATATTCAAATGTGAGTACTACAAATAATTGTATTTATCCCAGTTAAGCAAAAAATTTTGAATGTTTCCAAAAATATGTATAATAGTACCTACACTTCAAGTGAAAGAAAATGTTTGATCAAAGTACAAAGCATGTACATAAGAAATAGAACAAAAGGTGAATGTTGATGAATGTTGATGTTGATCATGATCAACGTCAAAGTTCAGAGAATTCTTCATGTTAACCCATCAATGAATTTGAAGCATATATCTCTATTCTTCATACGAACACACGAAAAACAAAAACACAAAATGATATCTTAATAAATTTTCATTTTAAAAAGTCGACCTTTTAATGTTCTGATTTGAAAATAAAACAAAAAATTGGCATTCTCAGTTTTTCGTAGATAACATCAGTAATTACAAAATGAAAAAAGATGGGTCACATTCATTTTACTAATATTTTTTTATCGTTTGTTCCCATAGGTCATTATTAACAGATACTCAAAATTTGCTCGTTTCGGCATGATGCACTGCCTTTCTTCGAGCGTTTGTTTCTGGATCTGGACCATTTTTAGAGAAGTCTTGGAAGCGCTTGCCTTCGCGGACTATGGAGATGACGACGAAACAACTACTACCTCCCCAGTAACAGCTTCCGATTATGTGGAACCGCCCTATTCTTTACCTTTGAACTATTCAAACGGTCAAAAAGGTAATGATGTTAAAACAAGTTAAATATGACTACACCATTTGCGGATGTATTTCTGATTAAACAATTATATCCCAGAAAGCGTAATTTGAATTTAGTTAGTTTCAGTTCAAATGGATTTGAAATTAGTAGTTTGTACTTCAGAATATGTCTTTGTTAACCCATTCCTTGAAAATCCTTTTGAATATCTTGTTTCTTCATGGCTTTAGTATGCTTCTGTTCTAAACGACTTGAACCATTCAGGAAAGATTCAATTGTTTTGTGAGCACTGATTCTGCATGATTTTCAATCCCAATAATAGCCTTTTGGTAAAATTTTATTTGAATATCACTTCAATAAAGATTTTAAATTACAGAATCCATATTTTTTAGGTGCCCAGAAAGAAATTGTGGACATTTCTACAAGACGTTTTACTGCAATATGTGAACAGAATGACGAAAGTTTATCAACGATTTATAGGGATTTTTCGCCATATTTGTACCCCTTCAGTGTCGAATACAGTATTTTAGTGGGTAAGAAATATTTAGTTTATATTTTTTGTATATTACAGCAAATACTTTTCAAAGTAGCACTGTCTATTTAGTAAATCGATACCTTCAAGCATATTCTGGTCCTTACTAGTTACAGGGTGTTAACGATCTTATGTCAAATATTTTTGACACATGTCCGTTATGTCAAAATGAGGTAAAGACACGGATTTGTGTTGAGTAAAATGTAATATTAAAATATGACTTACCTACCTCAATATTGCAAGAAGCCACCTTTTGAGAACTGCTGATTTTTATAGAAGATGGTCGATGTACTCACCATTTGCTTGCACACAAGCTTCAGCGCGACGTATCCAATTCGCTGGCACACGTTACAGCGGCCTATCCAGCGATCGGGAAAAGTATTGTTTAGAATGTCGCGCAATGTTCGAAAAAAGTAAGCAGGGGCTCCGTTATGCAGTAACCACATATTTTGCCAAACATTTAATGACGCTCTGGCAAACGATTTTGCAAAAGATCTGGATATGAAGTACCGTCTAGACAATTCAAAAGGTCCTATTAAAGTGTCATTAAATATACCGGCCCACATGTTCACTGAAAACTGTTGGTGAAAGGCACCGCGACGTATTTCATGTGTATTTTCGATAATCCAATGGTGAGTGTTGTGGACGTTACCTACACCATTTTGGAAATACGGCTATTAAATATACTCGCGAAAAACAGCACAGCAATCACTACAACAATGTATTACAAACTGACATTCGAATATAGTCCGGTTTCATAAGAAACCTACAAACTCGTAAAAAAGTGTGTATTTCAGCAGTTCCAAAACAGTTTTCAACACATTTTAATTAGCTTTTTTCTCTACGACCTTAAACTTCCGATACAACTTTATGACATCAGTTACCTCAGTTTTTGCTCCTTTTTCACCCCTTTAAATTTTTGACATAAGTTCATTAATACCCTCTGTAATTGGGTGAATCTATTGAAGAACATTTTTATGTAGGTTCTTTTAAAAATATATATATTTTCCCAGCAAAAGCTATGCAAAAAGGTTACCCACAATTTATAAGTCAAATTCGTTTTATCCCTCTCGAAACTTAAAGCCATCAAACAACAACATTTTAATATGATGAAAAGTGTCTATCGAGCGGGCTGTGTAAAGGCCTGATCGCCCATCTGCCTGATAGCAGTCGAACATGAGTTTGGACCCCGAATACACGGTAATCTAATTTCAGTTGGTATATTGTACCTTGTATGGCAGAACATCGGGGCGTGCAAAGAGGAGGAGGACGAGGACCAGACAAGACAGTGCATGACCCCCTCCGGAAACAAAGATAACACGGAAAGCAACGTCGCCATCCACGCCGACTGTCACGCGTCCAACAAGGGCCTGTTCGCCGGATTCACCATTTTGGTGCTCACCCTTGTCAGCATCATATTGTTCTTTATTGCTATCTACACCGACGACGGGTGAGTGCTGTTGTTTCCTTCAAAATGGTACCACACCTGCTTTCGTTTGGTTAATTAATTTATACCTACTTACAGAGTAATCTGTTGTAACTTTTTCTTTTGTGAACACTTGTTTCTAATGAAACAGTGGATCAAGATAAATTTCCGATATTGTTTTGTTATTTTTGACATATTTTTAAACATCCCCAACTTGATTACGTTTATGTTACAGGAGACACGGGGAGATTGGAGTCACTCTGAACATAGTGACTTCACTAATCATCCTTTCGTTTATGACCTTAGCCTGTATCTTCGCATTCGTACAAATAACGAAACTTGACATCAATTCAGCACACCACAACTTACTAGACGATATTTTGTTGTTCATATGCATTCCGGCATACTTCTTGAACGGGATTTTCAGCATGATACCTGCCATTATATTTGCTAACGTTATCGGATCAATCAACATAGTCTTAGAGGTAATTTTTTATCAATTTTAATAGCGGTTATATTGTATCTCTTACAACAATGTATGAGAGATTTTTACCCAATGAAATAAAAACATATATGGATATATTCCAGTAAATATCTTTAATCTGTTCCCACTATAGTAAATAGACCATTAATACATTGTTTTCAAGGAGGTAAGTGGATTTTACCGTAGAAATGGAAGTTGCTATGGACAAAGGGAGTAATAAATAGAAATATTTGATGAACATTACATTTTATTAATTATTATGAATGAATATTTATAGTAATTGTACAGTTATTACATTTAGTAACATTTATAAAATCTGGATAATTATTCCCCTCGCGTTTACTAATAGTCATATTTTTCTCAAAATGTACGTACTACTAGAACCTGGAGATTCCTGTTGGCTATTTCATTTTTGTTACTTCAACTGTCAGCAACATAACTTTCTGCAATTGTGGCTGATTTCCACCCACCATGTCTCTTGATTGCTAATACATCAACTCCTGTATTAGCAAGTAACGTTGCCGATGTTCTTCGGAATGAATGACCTGTGTATATTTCAGGATGTTCTAGTTTTAAACACTGTGCAATCTTTTTAGGAATCATAGACCCTTCATAGAGTATTCTTGCCGACTGCTTGGTTGTAACATCTACCTGCTTGATAGCGCATAAAAAAGCATGAAATTACAGTTTTAATTTCGAATCTAATCTTGATATATTTCTTGAGAGTTTCTAGGCGAGAAACAGAAGCCAGACGAGAAGTAACTGTAAACGTACGTGGCTTACCATTTTTAGAATCTAGAATTGTAACTACAATAATACCATCGAAATTTTTGATATTGACGTTGTCCAAAGTAAGTCTGCAGAACTTATCAGAACGGCATGCTCCTGCTATGCCTAAGACCGTCACTAAATTCATTAGCAAATATGTGTTATCGTGTGACTGAACGAGAAAATTTGTTCTCTTGTAAAAACGTTTGACTTTTTAGGTATATAGCCGTCATTTTTACGTTTCAAACATGCTCTGAGCTTGGGGTATTTTGATATATCCACATTCTCCTCTATGAAAATAGTTGACATAATCATTGAGTCCACAAAGTTACCGGTGACTTTAAAGTTCTTGGCTTCTCCATGAAATATGCTAGCAATGACATTTCAGAAACACCAGTAGTTTTGTTCTGGCACCATTCTTTNTTATTAATTATTATGAATGAATATTTATAGTAATTGTACAGTTATTACATTTAGTAACATTTATAAAATCTGGATAATTATACCCCTCGCGTTTACTAATTGTCACATTTTTCTCAAAATGTACGTACTACTAGAATCTGGAGTTGAAGTGTTATTGTAAAGATTCCTGTTGGCTATTTAATTTTTGTTACTTCAACTGTCAGCAACATAACTTTCTGCAATTGTGGCTGATTTCCACCCACCATGTCTCTTGATTGCTAATACATCAACTCCTGTATTAGCCAGTAACGTTGCCGATGTTCTTCGGAATGAATGGCCTGTGTATATTTCAGGATGTTCTAGTTTTAAACACTGTGCAATCTTTTTAGGAATCATAGACCCTTCATAGAGTATTCTTGCCGACTGCTTGGTTGTAACATCTACCTGCTTGATAGCGCATAAAAAAGCATGAAATTACAGTTTTAATTTCGAATCTAATCTTGATATATTTCTTGAGAGTTTCTAGGCGAGAAACAGAAGCCAGACGAGAAGTAACTGTAAACGTACGTGGCTTACCATTTTTAGAATCTAGAATTGTAACTACAATAATACCATCGAAATTTTTGATATTGACGTTGTCCAAAGTAAGTCTGCAGAACTTATCAGAACGGCATGCTCCTGCTATGCCTAAGACCGTCACTAAATTCATTAGCAAATATGTGTTATCGTGTGACTGAACGAGAAAATTTGTTCTCTTGTAAAAACGTTTGACTTTTTAGGTATATAGCCGTCATTTTTACGTTTCAAACATGCTCTGAGCTTGGGGTATTTTGATATATCCACATTCTCCTCTATGAAAATAGTTGACATAATCATTGAGTCCACAAAGTTACCGGTGACTTTAAAGTTCTTGACTTCTCCATGAAATATGCTAGCAATGACATTTCAGAAACACCAGTATTTTTGTTCTGGCACCATTCTTTGAAATTTCTATATACTCGTCCGTAGCACACTTTCGACTTCTCAAGCAATAAAAATTCGCAAGCAGCATTTGCTGCACTTTTTATTTGAAAATCACTTATTTAGAAATAATAATTCAATACCAGCAAAATTGCAACTTTTATGTAGCTTTGTTCATAAACACCTTAGAAAGGACAAAATCCAAACAACCAAGGCGACTTTGCAAGATTTCGAATAATATGAATGAATGAATTAATAAAGAAATGTCAAAAAATAACACCTAATCTTTATTTCATGAACCATAAAGAATTGTGGGGGCAGATAAAATGTTATGCACCACGCAGCAGTTAAGTATAATTTACCAGTCTCGGACTTTATTATCAGCCCTCGCTCCGCTCGGGCGCGAAATCGTCCTCGACTGGTAAATAATACTTACCTCCTTTATGGTGTAAATAACTATTTTGAAAATTGTCATCCTCTATGTCAGAAACAATCTCTTGGGATTAATGATACAATCTTTACAACTATTTGTACATTTTGATTGTTCAATCTCTAAGTGCACTATTATTTTAAGGTTTTCCAAGTCCTGCTCCAGACGTGTTTTATAATGGATGGTTTGCGACGTTCCAGCAACACGAAAGAACTCAGAAGGATTAAACCAGGTCGAGAAATGGTCACATTTTTAGTCATAAGCAACGTGGCGCTTTGGATAATGCAAACTTTCGAGGTGAAAAGTCATGGAATGCAGGACAACCGATACGAGTTCTATGGAAAAGAATTATGGACCATCCTTGGTCATATGTGCCTGCCTCTGATGATGTTCTATAGATTCCATGCTTCGGTTTGCATCGGGGACATTTGGAAGTATGCTTATGAACCACCAGGACATTAAACGACTTTATTTTCTGTATATAATTCAGTAATCGTTGTTAATTTATTAAGTGAATATCACATTATGATGTATGTACGTAGTCTGTTTGTTGTTTGTGTAAATCTCTTCTTCGATCTGTTAGCTATAAACACATTAACCAAACAGTTAACATAGAGATAATAATTAATATTGCTTTGTAACTATTTTTCTTTTTAACTAAATATGTAAGCAAAGTAATGTTTCATTTCTATGTAGAGTCTCTAGTTGTTGTACATAATAGTAGTTTTAGTTTTAGAAAAGCAATAAAATCATTTTTATTTTATTGTTTCTGTATTGTCTATTATTTATACATATTTTAGCAAATTAGTTGCATTTAAAGCAACATTTAAAAAACGATTGAAATGTTGCGTTTTGGATGCATAAAATAAAGTTGAGTTTCTAATGTCTCTAAACAACTAGGCAAAACATTACATCAAGAACTGGATTTTCTCGAAAAATTAACAATAAAGAAATTTACATGGTTGCTGTTTCACCCTAGTTTTGAATTGTCTTGTATAACATAATAGACAAATTTACGACGGTGCAAGTCAAGAGCCATGAATCCCTGAAGTCTGAAGAGGCCAAAATGATCACTTATTTCCTGTGACAGTGTATACGGATTAGTCATAAACTTAAACTAAATCTACACTGGATTAGCTGCTTCCAGCTGGCTATCATGGCCAACCTAGATCATACACAGCCTTTGTAACTGGCTTTTCCTGCTAATATGACGATGGTTATACCATACAGATGAAGTTCGAGCTGTTATAACTCAAAGGGTACTTTAAAATTTACCATTGTATTAATTTAAGTATTTTGTCTTTATGGACGATAAAGCGCACCCACATTGCGCTAGACAGGAATCCCATCGAAACATGTGTGAAAATGAGTGAAAGAATCAATGAAATTTTTTACGCTAACTTTTACATAAATAAAAGTAAGTATGCGACTATTAAAAGTGTTTAATTTTATTAAAATGAACCGTACTTTACCAAGAGCGTTTGGAATCAAACTGGTAATCAAAATATTTTATTCATTCATTTATATTCATTTATTTCGGATCATAACTATAACAATTACTTAAGCAGAATTTGCAATAGAAAGTTAAAAACCTTGAAAATCAAACGGAATAGATTATGGCCAAAGCTCAAGGCTCTGTTGGTAAACAATGTGTAACCAGCAATCACTATACATGTTTGTAAACATATTATTATCAGAGCTGACATAATTGTCGGCACACCAAAGGCGTGCAAAACTTTGTAGGTACGTAACATAAAATAAAGTGAACAATGGTTATAAGATTTAAATCCAATATCATTATGCAACACGTCGTTATCATCAGTTCCATCTCTAGGTGAGATCGATTAAAGATCTGCACCATCAGGTATGTTTCTACCCTTGTTTCAGCGAAGCTTATACTAAAAGAAATCACTAAAATCGTAAAAGAAAGAAATAATCGTTCGATTACAGGCAACTACCGGCGCCTAAACGAACACCTAGACAGTTTCCGCGACTGATTATCGACCCCAATGGCTAGCAGAGCGTTTGTACAAGTTCTAAGTATTACCACAGACAAAATAGCTCACGCTATATTGTCTGTGGTATTACACTATGACTTATGAAAGCGGATGTGTATAAAAGGATAAATGAAACAAATTTTGATACATGGGTACCTTATGAGTAGGCTTCGTGTGGGGCGGAGTTTAACAGGACCGTAGTCAGACTACGAATGGAAATATTAACATGTTTACAGAAAATATGTCGCAACAGAGTATTATTACTAAACAGCAAGGATAAGTAGAGGATAAGATGCCTATATCAATTTAAATGACACCACATATCCGATAAACCTTAATGTTGAGGCAAGGCTTCGGTGGAAGGAGTTAAAACATATTACTAATAGTCCAGACGATATATGTTTAAAAAAGTCCATATTTGGGTGAATCGTATATCCAGGGAGATTTTTGGCTTTTTGGCTTTCAAATATCACTAGAAATGAAAATTTTTCTATGCGCAAGGCTTAGCTTTTGGCGGCACAATATGTTAAAAAAAATCGAAAAATGTCATATTTTTCTTCCTATTTAATTATGTATCTTTTCAAAAGTTGATTTTAGGCGAAAATGGAAGAGGAAAAAATGTTTGTAATTAAATTTTTTACCGTACTTTTATGAGGGATTTCGGTTCATATATTTTTCTAAAAACGTACGGAACTTGGGGTTCTTTAATTTGTTTAATGGAATATTGCTTAAAAAAAGGCGTTTGTAAGTTCATAGAAAAATACAGTCTTCAGCGCTGGACGAGGCATGACTCTTCAAATGGCTACAAAACAGGTCATTTCTTTTATACGTACATATGTCCCTGTAACCTTCGGGATCACTGTCAAACTACATTTGAAATAATTCCCGTGTAATTTCTCTCTTTTGGCATTTTACTATCCCTTTACAAACCCTCCCCCCCACCCAACTTATAGTTGTTAATGTTAATTATGTTACTATTTATACCTAAATACACACGGCGAATACAATTTACAGTAGACGTAAAAAGAAACCAATTACTACAAGGTTCCGTAAATAACTGAACAGTTCAAAACGCGAGTCAGCTGTGGAGGCCACCGACCCCCGCGCCGGCTCTGTTAGACTCTGCACGTACACTAAGTCTACTTATGAGATTCAGTTTTGCTGTTAATTTGATTTTTTAGCATAGTATTAGCCATATTTTAGATACTAGAAAACAAAAACAAAATTGTAGGTTAAAACCATTTTTTTATAAAAAAAAACAAACAATTTTATTAGGATATCTCCTAATGTTCATAGTTCAAAGGGTTATTAATGTAAAAATTAGATACCTTTTATTAAGTGCAATATTAAATCACAAGAAAATCCCACTCTCAAATTTTTCGCTGGATTATTTGGGGCACTCAGTACGCAGCTGTATATTATTATTTCTATATTACGACGACTGCCAAGCACGATTTTTCAGCGACCTAATGAATATAATTCGACAAATGACGAGATAATAACTTTGTAACCTTGTATTTGATCAGTATTCACAGAACGCTTCACAGCAAGCATAGTGAGCAGGATTTTACAGTGAAACATGTGGCTCCTAGTGTTTTTGTTTGTTTTATTACCATTTCTGTACATATATTTCATCAAATATAAATATTGGGAGAACAGAGGGGTACCTGGGCCCAAACCTTTGCCCCTCATTGGAAATATGGGCGTGAGTCTCATCGGAAAGAAAAATTTGTCAGAAATTTACGCAGATATTTATCAGTAAGTTACTCATTTTATACCGGAGATATAAAAAATAAACTGTTAACAGCGTTTGCATTGTTGTTATCTTAAATATACAGGACGTTACAAAATAATTTAAAAAATATACGATTAAGCACATGAAACAAGTATTGAACCTGTCTCATCCAATGTTCCATAAAATGTGTCTAGATTTAATTTATTTATTCATGAAAAATAATTATTCTGCTTAAATTTAAATAATACTCTTTACTATATGAGCACCAATTATTATTTTATGCTTTTTGTCTAGGATCCTATAGACAAGGTTCCATTTGAAACAGTTCTAAAATGCTATTATTTTTTAGTTAGATCACTCCATATTTATGAGACCGTAATAAACCATGATCGAAGCTGTGTCGCAATAGATAAGCGAGCCACAACAATGCGATAAATGACTAGCAAATCGCTTTGATGTGTCAAAAAAGACCGCCACTCGTTTTATCGCCTAACGTGTGACGCCATTAATAATGACGATAATAAATTAGCGGGCTAAGTCGTGGTTACACCTACGTTCAATGCGATAGTGCGGTAATTAGCGGTATTAGGCGTTATGCTCTGGCCACACTTGCGTTAACGTGTAACGTCCATTATCGCGATGAATATTGGACTCTGACTACGTGAAAATAACTTACAGTTAATAAATGAGGATTGTTTTGAAACATTTCATGGTATCTAAAATAATATCTCCAACAATAAATACTACTATCGCCTTTTGCACTCATTGTTTCTTGTAATGATTTGATAAACCTGTTTTTTTTTAGTAAATATGAAGATTGTCCTTTCGTGGGAATTTATAGAATGTCACAACCGTGCCTACTGATCAGAGACCCAGAAATAATAAAAAACGTTTTGATCAAGGACTTCAACCACTTCACAGACAACGATATCGTCGTTTATGAAGATCTCGATCCTCTTTTAAGTCATAATACGTTTATTCTAAAAGGAGAACCATGGAAGAGAGCTAGGCAATTTATGACACCAAACTTTGCAAGTGGGAAGGTTAGGCGATAATTCTCAAAACATCGTTTTTTAATAATTGTTCATCTTACAATATTGAAATACTGAACTTTTTAGATAAAAAGTTTATTCCCCCTCGCCGAAAACGTAAGCAAAAATCTCGTCAAGTATTTGGAAAAGCAAGGGCATACTGCTATAGACGCTAAAGACGCTTTCACAAAATATAGCTGCGATTTAGTTGCCGTTTGTGCTTTCGGTATAGAGGGAAATAGCTTTGTAGATCCCAATGCAGAGTTTCTAACTTTGGCCCGCAAATTTGTCACACCGGGCACTTCCCTGCAAGGAATTAAACTAACTCTAGCATTGCTCATGCCACAACTCATAAAAGCGAAGTAAGTACATAAAATAAAATTTTGATATTGAATAAAATACTTCTGAAACCTACTTTTTTAAATATTCAACAGATAAGTTTCCTATGTATGTTTATTTATTTAAGATGAAGTTGTTGACAAGAACTAAAGTAGGTTTTTTAAGTGAAAAGTAACACACAAATTTAATTTACTTTTTTAAAGTATTTAGATTTATCAAAATATGCTGTGTCTAATTTCATATATCCAAATTGATGCTCCAAGCACCAACGATTGACCTCAATTTGTTCAAATGGAATGTTATTACCTCAATTGGTTCCTCTGCAGTCTATTATATATGTCAGTTAAGCAGCTGCCACAATATCTACAGGGTCAATTAAATAAACGTGGAATTTTCAGACTCGCGCCTAAGAGTTTCGACGAAGGAATGATAGAATTAACCAATAACACTCTTAAATATAGAACAGATAATAACATTGAAAGAAACGATTTCTTCGGGGCTATGGCTAGGACTCCTTCTATTTTGCCAATTGAGATAGCAGCACATATGGCTAATCTTCTGATAGACGGATTTGAATCTAGCTCGACGGTAAATATAGTCTATTTCTGTTTAAAGGAAGAAAACTAGGAACTCTTTATCTACTTTTGAATGTTCCGTACACAAGAGAAGCTCACTTATTTGTTTAAATAGATCCTAAAAAGACACATATGTTTTTTCATTTGTTTTTATATTGTATGTATTTCAAAAGTCAATTTGATTTCAAAAAACTTGTATGAGTAGCTTACTACTAATTTTTTAAGAGAATATAACTTTCCTGTGGAAAATAGGCTTGATATTATGATGGTTTGCTTTGCACTTTCCTTTATGATTCTAACAAATGCTATACTTTTCAAATTATCTGATGTAGAAAAGATGGCCGTCCTTTCGGAGACATTTGTCATTTGCCACAAATCATCTATTCATGATTCAATATTTACTTTAGGTACTGACATTCGTCCTTTATGAACTGGCTGTAAATCCAGAATGCCAAACTAAGTTACGAAATGAAGTACACAGTGTGTTAAAGAAGAATGAAGAAAATTTTACATATGAAGCAATGCAGGACATGGTTTATCTGGACGCATGTGTAAGGGGTGAGTTTAAAGAATAGTATCCTGTCTCCAACACAGCAAAAATACAGTGTTAAATTTCACACTGAAATAAAAATTTTACACCCCAGTAATATCCAGTGTGTTTATATTTTTATCCACATTCGTGGGTCTTAAAATGATTTTACCTAAAAGTGGTCGAATTCTAAACTTATTAATATACTCAAACATTAATCTTTGGTATTAAAATCAGGAGTTAAACAGTTTCGTTTTCAAGAACCCACCGTGTACATATACTTTTACCAAATTTTATTACAGAGGCCTTAAGGGTGCACCCAGGACTAGCTCAGTTAAGCAGAGTATGCACTGAACAGTATACAATGACATCGTCTGGCAATGACTTCAGGAATATAAGCGTCACCGTAGAGAAGGGGACGGTCATAATCATTCCCCTCCTCGGTTTGCAAAGAGACCCGAAATATTTTCCATCGCCTGACAAGTTCATTCCAGAGAGATTTTTGGACAAGACTGAAGCTAACAAGAACGTCTACATGCCTTTCGGTAGCGGCCCCAGAATGTGCATAGGTATTTTCCGTTTTTAAATTTTTGAGACTGTGGCAATACGACAAAATTTTAATTCTAGGTAGTCGATTTGGATTGTTGCAAGTCAAAATCGGAATAGCCCAGATGATAAGGAATTTTGTAATAACCCTGAACGAAAAGACAATATATCCTATGAAGTATGATCCGATATACTTCACACTGTACCCCAAAGGCGGAGTATGGTTCAACTGCAAGAAAATTAAAGTTGCTGAATGAGTAACCAGCAGGAAAATTTTAAGCGTTATTTTTAATTATAATGTTACCATTTAGTAAATAGGTACTGCCCATTTTACATTCTCATTATACAACATTATGTAATAAATTGTTTTAAATTCTGATGTTTTTACCTAATTTATATAATCTGCAACAGAAGACGAAACCGTTGAAAAAAAGTGTTCCATTAAATGAACTGAAACTTGTCTCTCAATTCAACTAAAGGATGTCAAAATTAACATAAGTTCATACGGACCAAACTTCTTTCTACAGCTTGAATTTACAATAATTTTTTATATCTTCTAAATTACTTGTAATTTTACTACCAAGTTTTTGGCTATTGAGAATGTCATCATAAATTAAAACGCCACAAAGTTTTCGTAGACTATAACTAAAATGTATACAGGGTGTCCCGGTACTGGATACCAAAAAGTCGAGTTCAAATAGATGAGGTTAAAAGTTAATATAAATTTTATATAATTTTTTTCATATGGGCCTTCGTCAACAAGTTACGGGCCCTCAAAAGTGAAAATTAAAAAGTTTTTTTGTATTTATAGCCTCTAAACTATTAACTTCAGCATGATGCAAATTTGGTGATCGATAACACATGCATACAGCTTGTTTTTGATATTATAAGTGAAACTTCATTATACCCAGAACGCCAGGAACGGACTAAGCTCAATGGTTAACAACCCAAATCTTTTGCAAAGATGACGATCACAATCTGCCTGTATAAAAAATAAGTTCCCTGAAGAATTTACCCACGATAATATTCTCTTGGTTCAACTCGGTAAAATTAACAGTTTAGGAAATATTTGTGATTTTATGTCACAATGCACATCGAGCGGCGCCTCCACCATTTTTTGTTTTTTATTTTTAATTGGACTTAATTGCTGTGTTAGAACCGTACTTATTCTTAAAATAAGAGCCTGGAAAATCTTACTGTCTGCTAATGTAATTTTCATTAACAAAATTTGACAAATATACTTTATACATTACACTAAATAGAAAAACAAAACAAGAATAAGTTAAAGTTAAAATATTTCTAATATTCAATGTAAATTAATTCTTTGTAGCAATTCACCCCTGTCTGTACTAGGGTTGTGTACAATAAACTTCCATCGGGTTAAAGTCTGGAGAACGTGGTGGCCATGAAATTGGGTCTCCTCTCCCAATCCATTTATGGATAAATAATTTCGTACATCAATATTGAAATGGGGAGGAGCCCCATCGTGCATGAACCAAACGTTTCTTTGGTGTCTAATCGAACATAGTCTAATAGTAGCTGCAAATTATTTTGCAAAAATTCCAAATATCTGTCTATTGAGACGTTCTTCAAAAACGTATGGACCTATTAAATTATTACCCTTTTTATTACTATTATTATTATTATTATTATTACCCAACATAGTAATTAAGGAGGTTTACCTGATTTGGAATTGACGAACAAATATTCATAAAAAAATTAATATAAGCTTATTAATATGAAGAAAATCCTTAAAAAAAATTATGTCTAGATTGAATACCTAAGAGAAGAGATATTAATAAAATTTTATACGATTTAGTACAGAGTCTTATAAGAACGCAGATTTTTTTGGTCTTTCCACTTAGAATGCGCAACAATTGACGAACAGTTTTCACAGCAATTTGTATAAATAGGAAACCGATATCTAAAGAACCATATGACAGCTTGTAGAAATCGATTAGGTACTTGTAAGATACATAATTTATAATAATTCTTCTTCAAACTGCTGTCGTTGACTCACTTATCCTCCATATGCGTGATAGCGGCAACGCCGCGGTCACGACGTAGAGTATTATTTGAAATTTCCAAACAAACAGAATTATGGAACGGGAGCGAGCGAACGTCGAGCAGAGCGCACCAGCCGAATGCAACGTTGCCAAATCTAAAGGCTTAGTCACTAGCGAATCTACAGAAACTTTCGTTAGACTTTAGACGTACCTCCGTACCCGATAAACCTCCTTAAGTGCAATTTAAAATTAAAAACAAAAAATGGTGGAGGCGCCGCTCGATGTGCTTTGTGACATGAAATCACAAATAATTCCTAAACTGTTAATTTTACCGAGGTGAAACGCATGTGTTATTGATCACCAAATTGACATCATGCCAAAGTTGATAGTTTAGAGACTGTAAAATTGTTGACAAAGGCCCGTATGAAAAAAGTTTATATGAAGAACTGATATTATTTTGACCTCATCTATCTGTACTTGATTTTTTTGTATTAAGTACTGGGACACCCCGTATATAGGTATAATATTTCGCAATGCAATTATGTCGTAAATTATTTTATTTAGAAAAAGAATGTATTTGCTACAAGCATATTCCTGACTGTCTTGAGGCGTTTCTTGAAAAAACGCCATATCTGTCTCTATTACATCAGACGTCGTGTACCACAAGACGTAGTATGTTATTATAGCTAACAGTCAGATATGTTTTTTTTGGGTTATCAGCACAACTATATGATACATTCGAAAAATAACAAAGCTTACCACATTCATGATATAATCGCCATTATAATATTTAGCAATAACAATTTCTCAAGGATTACTGTTATCTCAACACAATTACTATACTATTTACAGATCCACGATTAAAGCTTCCTATAAAAAAATCACTGCTACATGGATAGTACAATAATGTACAATAAATATTGGCCCATTTACTCATCATTTTATACTGATTGCTTTGTTAAAGTATAAACTGTATGACAAAATATGCCTAAAGCAACTATATCAGATGAAGAGACAAATAAATACAAAAAATAATAATTTTTATATGAAGCGATGAGTTCAGAACATGTAACTGTAGGTATGTTTTAGTATATTATTTTTTTTCAACTGCGGCTTCAGAACAACCAAGCTGTTGGCAGTTAACCTCTGCAGTGATGAGTACATTCCTAGAAAGCTATTCATAGTGGAAGACCCCTCTTTCATTTCACCAGATGCACAACATCAGCTTACGCTAATGAATATCGGAGTTGTCTTTTCATTGGAGCAAAGCCATTCCTTTCTGTTTTTGGCGTTGATCTAAAAGCACCATTTTCGTCATCCGGGTCAAAAACTGACGATACTGCTGACGAGCTAAACGCGCTGATTTTAGTCATTTCGCTCTAAACATGCGGCACCAATTTTTGAACATTTTCCACATAATACAAATTTCGATCCGTCTCTCTGCCTATTTTTCGGGTTGATTGAAGTAAGTCGCCATGAAAACTATTAAATTTGATCCGCTGCTTCAAATCTTGAAAATAATGTATTTGTAAGTAATTCTTTTTTCCACTCGACTGAACTTGAAGAAAATATTTACAACCTACTTAAAAAATTTTCCATGTAGCAGTCAGGGTCATCCTATAGGAGGCTATTAATCATTTTGCAGATAATACAAGTGTCAAACATCATTTTTGAAGAAGATAACGATACAGCATCCTTAACATTTATCATCAATATTCACGTATCACATAGTACCAAATATAGTGGACAGAATATTTTAGCAAACATGTGCCTCTGGATTTTTGTGTTTATTTTATTGCCCTTAGTGTACATACTTTTTAACAAATATAAATATTGGAAGAGCAGGGGAGTTCCTGGGCCCATGCCGCTTCCCTTCGTTGGTAATATTGGTGTCAGCATCATGGGCAGAAAAAATATATTGGAAGTTTATGCAGATATTTATCAGTAAGTACCAGTATTATACAGTGCTTTCGAAAAGAAACGAATAAATTCATTATTTTTTAAATTGAGAAGTTTTCGAAAAAATCCCCTGGCACGTCGATTTTGTTTTTAAAAAAGGCAGTTTTTGACATACGACCCATATTTGTGACGTCATCGTTGTTCGAGATATGACGTCATCGACAATTTTTTAAATAGCAACCTCCAATTTTGACCATGCCATTTGAAAGAGCGTGTCATTCTACATACACATCATGAAAAATTATGGTGTTACATAACAAAAATTTCAAGAAAATATGTTTGAAGATTTTAAAATTTAATTTTCACAATACTGAAAATGATAATGATGAATTTATTCGTTACTTTTCGAAAGCACTGTATTAAATCAAATAATTAGTATTTATTTACGATATTGTTGTGTTCTAAGTTGGAACTTTGCTTTTGACATAACGTAGAACTCAGGAAATAAACACGGAAAAACCATCTGAAATAATTGCAAAACATCCTAGTGGTCATTTTATGTAGTTTTCATGGACGTTGTTATACTTATGTCAAATATAAACACTTTTCTATTCATGGAACAGAACTTTTTCATACAACATACGTACAAACGTAGAACTGCTATTTTATTACTGAGTACGTTCTTCTATACTTCAACCTTAATCACTACCAAGTCTTCAATATAAGGATCTACCACTGAAGGCAACACTATAAGCTTTCAGGTCAACACAAGAATTCGCCAGAATTATTCCAAAAACAATTACTTTATCGAAGAAAATATTTATAAAAATTTCACTTTCATTTGGTTTCAAGAACTATTTTTTAGGTTTGTAACCATGGAGTTACATAAGATTAGAATGTGAGCACAGAACAGCTCATTCGGTTCAGTCGCTAAGTTTCAAAGATATGGTTGTCTGTGCAACGATGGTTTAATTCCTATTGAAGAAAAAAAAGTATAGCAATGGAGACGAGTAAATATTGATTACTTCAAAACCTTCAACAAAAATTAATTTAAGACCAAGGAAATGGGTAAATAACGGTAGAAGGATTTGAGTGAAAAATGGAAAAAATAATCCAAAAACCTTTATTTTGATTTGGGATAACTTATGGTTAATGTGAAGTGAATGGGGATTTATGTCATGGGTTTTTCTTACATAGAAATAACAAGTTACATTCTTCTGGACTCCAAACTATGGATGAGTAGAATATCCAGAACAACCAGCCATAGACCGTAAAAATTACTCGAACGCATAGCAAATGTTATTGAAATGATTCGAAGAAGACGTCGTGAATACTCAGCTTATATGAACAAATCCAGTGTTGAAAATTTGGAACATGTTTAAACAAGTCCAAACTTATTTAGAGTATCAGTTTAGTTTTTGTATTGAGTTTTATGTTATGGTAAAACGAAAATTCCAATTTAAAACACCTTCAAGGTTAATTTACTTGGAGTTGTCATAAAAATTTCTTAAAGTGATTTTATTTATTATAGTAAGTACGAGGATTGTCCTTTTGTGGGAGTTTATAGGATGTTACAACCATGTCTACTGATTAGAGACCCGGAGATAATAAAAAACGTTTTGATCAAGGACTTCAGCCACTTTACAGATAACGAGATCATCGTTTATAAAGATATGGATCCTCTTATAAGTTCACACATATTCATTCTGAAAGGAGAAGAATGGAAGAGAGCGAGACAGTTCATATCTCCACATTTTGCAAGTGGAAAGGTTAGTAAAAAGAGAATTTATTTAATATTTCATTAAAGCAACTATCCATTTGCTATTTTCTTTTATTGGAGTATGACGAAAAACAGTGGACGTAATTTTCATTCATCCACATGGATATGAAAAAACTATTTCGAAGTATATATTCAACTTTTTAGATTAAAACCATGTTTCCTCTCGCCGAAAACGTAAGCAAAAATTTCGTCAAGTATTTGGAGAAGCAAGGAGAAACTCCCATAGATGCTAAAGATGCCTTTACAAAATATAGCTGCGATTTAGTGGCAGTTTGTGGATTTGGAATAGAAGGAAAAAGTTTTGACGATTCAGAGGCAGAGTTTATAACCTTGGCTCGCAAATTTACCACGCCAGGCATTTCCTTGCAAGGAATCAAGTTAATTCTTGCATTTTTTATGCCGAAACTTATAAAAGCAAAGTAAGTACAGATAGTTATTTTGGAATAATTTATCAAACGACTTTGACACTAAAAATTTATTTTTTAAACATTGATAACACTTTTAACATGTGTATGTTTGTTCAAGATATGTAATTGCGTAATCGACATGTTTTTCGCTAGTTAAAACCTATTTCATCATTAGTAAAATAAGCTGTACAGAAATTAAAAAGCAATTATTTACCTAATTTAATACATAACAAAAACAAGCAACAATTATAGAAATGATAATAAAATAAAATAGGAAAACAAATTGACATAAATAGAGGTATAAATGGTAAGAGATGAAGATTAAGTAGCTTAATAAAATAATATAATATACCCATCAAAAAAAAGTTTTATTTTCAGTATTTTAGGCCAACAACAATCATCATTAATTAAAAAAAAAATCTTTTTCAGACTAGTACCTAAGAGCTTTGACGAGGGAATACTGGCATTAACTGACAGTACACTTAAATACAGAACTGAAAATAAAATTGAAAGAAACGATTTCTTCGGGTCTGTAGCCAAAACCCCTTCTATTTTGCCAAATAAAATAGCGGCACATATGGCTAATCTTATCGTAGACGGATTTGAATCTAGTTCGACGGTAAATATTATTAATTTAAAACCATTTGTATCCTTACCTTGTATAATCCAATAAAGAATGTTTTAAAAGTCTACAAAAAAATGTACAATGCAAATAATTGTACTAGGTGATACTTGATCCAACATTGAAGATATTTAGATTGTAATGTGTTTTTGATGAAGGTTATGACTACGCTTTTCGTAATGTAATGTTGATTTGTATCTTTTATGCTTTTCCTTTTATATCAGCAGCCACAGACTTAAGTAAAAGATAGATGAAGAGTCAAGTAGGTATATAAAAATAAACCAAAACGGGCAAAAAAAATTTAATAAAGTAATATGATCGAATCTATTGAAAATTGGTCAATGTTAGAAGAAAGTTCCTGCTCAACAATCAGAGCTACAGTCCCCCAAAACATCTACAATTTCCGTTAAACTATCTATGTCTAAAATTTTGCATTTTTAGGTCCTGACGTTTGTCCTTTATGAACTGGCTGTAAATCCAGACTGCCAAACCAAGTTACGGAATGAAATTAACAATGTGTTTGAAAAGTACGACGAAAATTTTACATATGATGCCATGCAGGACATGGTTTATCTCGACGCATGTATAAAGGGTAAAATTCGATTTCTAATAAAGCATCTGAAAATTGCAGTTGCGTTGACTTTTATTAAGCGTTAGTTATGGTTGTGGTTGACATAAAACTGGCAGATACCTATAGCAGCGATTCTTTGTTTTTTAATTGGCGTTATTGCCGTTTTCGATTGCTTGAGCTCTAGGTCCAGATGCGTATTTATTACGAAGTTTGAAAATACAAATTAAAACTAGAAATAAGCTGAGATAGACTTTCCGAAGTTGGTTGAACATGTATAGAAACGCCTAGTAATAAAATTTATAGAATGTCATAGGCGTCCCTAAAGAAGTTTTCTGCTAAAGGTAAAAAGTTATAATAATTTGTATATAAAGTGTAGAAAATTTCTATTTTATGTCCATTTGTCCAACAACATATTTTAATTATTTATGTCCTCGGACAATTTTATTATATTGATGGTAAATTCCTTTTTGTTCTGTTTCAAAAGGTCTCCAAAATCCTATGTTGTAATAACATTAGTAAGCAAAATATCCCTCTTATTTCTCCCTTTCGCAATTGTAATATGAATGATTAATAGAAGGTGCCTATAATAAATTAAAATTACCTGAATCACACCAAATTCCGCATTGCTGCACTGCACTGCTAAGCCATTTGTTGACAACTTAATTTATGGCCACGTCACCCAATGCGGCTGTGTTTGTGTCGCGTTTGCCCGCGCCCTCATTCTTCAACTGGGGACCAGACCTGTATATGGGTATGGCTAAATAAATATGGGAACAAGTTTTTCAAATATGTCAATGCCGAGTTGCTGCGTCAGCGACCGAACCTGGTACATACTGCCAACATCTTGATTCTTCAATTGAGATCAGAAAGACTATACTATTATTCTATTATGCACACTTTCACCAAATTTTATTGCAGAAGCCTTAAGGTTATATCCGGGACAGCTGACCAAAGTGTGCAATGAACGATACACGATGACATCGTCCAGCAAAGACTTAAAACATATGAGAGTTACAGTGGAGGAAGGGACGACGATTATAATTTCTCTCTTCGGTATGCACAGGGATCCGAAATATTTTCCATCTCCAGATAAGTTTATTCCAGAGAGATTTTTGGATAGAACTGAAATTAACAAAGATGTATACATGCCTTTTGGTAACGGACCTAGGATGTGTATGGGTGTGTTTAATTTAATTTTCTTTTTTATTTTGGAAAATAAATTTTTAATTGCAGGAAATCGATTTGGATTGTTACAAGTGAAGACTGGATTAACTCAGATGATAAGGAATTTTGAAGTAACTCTAAATGAAAAAACAGTTTATCCCATGAAGTATGATCCCTTGTATTTTACATTGTATCCCAAAGGAGGTGTTTGGCTCAATTGCAAGAAAATTAGAGTTAGTGGATAACAGCAGCTGTACTGGATAACTTCAGAATTATCTTCACATAGCACGCACTACTTAAAAATTGTTTGCTATTTTTAATAAACTTTTAAATATTGTCGTTTTCTGTTTACTTAAAAGAAAAATAAAGACCAAAATAGGCATAAATACCTAGTACAAGGCTGCTGAAGTCGGACTATTTATAAATTTAAAGAAACGAAAAAAACTTATGTATCTGACTAGCCATAAGTGAATGTAATATAGTTAAATAAAATTCGATTCTATTTATCGAGGTCTGTTGAAGATATAAAAATGTATCCAAACTTTTGGCTGTAGTTTATTCAAATTGCCATCAATTTCATTGAGCACAAAGTTGCGAATGTAATTTAATATCAAATTCTTACGTTGCTGATAAAATTAATAATCGTTTTGTTTTTCTTGCCAATTTACGCCTCGATATGGGGAAACTCCATACAGCGCAAGTATTTTAACTGATTAATGGATCATACCGTAATAAGAATTGAATGTAGTAACTATTTGTTAACCTTACATTTAACCAGTATCTATAAAGCTACCACAATAACAAGACATGTTGTTGATTCTGATAGTGTTTATTACCTTACCGCTGCTATATATAATTATTAAAAAATATAAATACTGGGAAAAGAAAGGGGTACCTGGACCTAAGCCCTTACCCCTCATTGGAAACATCGGTGTCAGTATTCTCGGGCAAAAAAATGTGTCGGATGTTTACGCAGATATTTATCAGTAAGTACCCCCTTTGTATCGAATAGATAGGTAATCGAGAAATTGTGTTATAACCTCACTGACAAGAAAACCACTACTCCATGGCCTACATACCCCAACTATTATTGAGAGTCTGAAAATGGTGTTTTTTCCGAATCTACCTACATATTCGTCTAATGACATTTAAATACTAGTAGTTGCATTTCAGTATGCTCTCATCCAAACTTTTCCCCAATGCTCTATTGTCTTTACCTACCATAAATAAGGAAAATGTTTTGGTAACGTCTCGAACTGATTTTTTTAGTAAGTTTGAAGACTGTCCCTTTGTGGGAGTCTACAGAATGGGGCAACCATGTCTGCTGATAAGAGATCCAGAAATAATAAAAAACGTTTTGATCAAAGACGTTAGTTGTTTTATGGAAAAAGTGGACAGAGAGTTGGATCCGCTGATCAGTCGAAACACTTTCATCATGAAAGGAGATGAATGGAAGAGAGCCAGGCAATTCATGACACCAAACTTTGCAAGTGGAAAAGTAGGTTTAAAATCGTTATACCTACAGTGCATTTATTATTTGTGGGCAAAGTTTTCGTTTGTTTTCTTATTTATTTATTTTCCTATTACATTTTTAGATAAAAGCCGTATTTCCTATAGCAGAAGGTGTAAGTAAGAATCTTGTCAGTTATTTGGAAGAACAAGATGTTGCTGTCAATGCCAAAGAGGCGTTCATAAAATTCAGCTGCGATGTGATCGCCGCTTACGGATATGGCATGGAAGGAAATAGCTTCAAGGATCCTAACGCTGAGTTGATGACCTTGGCTAAAAAATTTGCCACGCCAGGCACTTCTCTGCAAAGCATAAAGCTAACTCTGTCGATTTTTATGCCAAAGCTTATAAAAATGAAGTACGTACCTATATACCTAATTATATATAAATATATCATGTTACAATATAAAGAATTTAACAAAACAAACAAAAAATGATACAAGTGAGTGTATAAAAAAAATGTAAACTGACATTAGACACTCTACTGAAGCATTTAATAAAAATTGCAGAAATATGTTTAACAACAAAATAAAATCTCTTTGAGGATTAAAATTAAACTATGCCAACAACTTCAATTTTATTTAGTCTAATTGACTAATTGCTTAAGCTTAATGCTTAAAAATGTAGCATGGTAAATTTTTGGTTTAACTAATATGTATAGGGTTAGTCACTATAATCTGACAACTTATTCGGTGTTATTATTGAAATTACAAAAAAGTTCTAAATACAATAGTTTTGGCTTTTTTATGAATTCTTATAATACAATATTAGAAAAAGCAATTGAATAATGGAAATCACTAAATTAAAGATTTTTTTTAATTGAAACACCCTATATATTAGTGCATACTTAGTTTCGTTAAGTTTTTTCAAAAAAAGTTATAAACTGAAATATGTCGAAAAGTCCTAAACCAAACAGTCACATATTATATATTTTTGAAAAGAGAAAAATTGAACGAAGCTAAGTATAAACTAATATATAGGGTGTTCCTTCAAAAAAATTATAATTTAGTGATTTCCATTATCCAACTAATTTTTTCTAATACTGTATTATAAAAATTCATAAAAAAAGTTAAAACTTTTGTGTTAAAAACTTTTTATAATTTTAATATAAACTCGCAATAAGTTGTCAGATTATAGTGACTAACTCTGTACAATGTCAAAACAATGTTACATGTTGTTAAAATATAATGCCAAACATACAAGAGATAGAAAACGTAATTTCAAATAAAAAGTTTCCTACTAAGAGTCTGAAAACAGTTAATTTTTTTTCTCATATTTTGACACTCTGCAGTGCTATTTTTTCTCTCTATGAGCTTTATTTTCTAATGTTTTTTTTTTTCATAGAATATCTATTTCCTGAGATATTTGAGAAAAAATACTGAATAACGTCTTTTTTTAATAAAAAAAATGTACATTTTCAATCACCAATAACTCAAAGAATATTGAAAAACGTCTTTATTTAATAAAAAATTTACATTTTCAATCACCAATAACTCAGAAAATATTGACTTGGCGAAAAATGTTCATATGATACTTTTTGCTTAAAATTGATTGCTTTATCGATTCCTGCGGTTATTTTCAATATTTTATTTTTCACCCCCTAGAAGACTTCTAATCCTTGTGCAAAAGCGCTTATCGGCACTATATAACTTTTGTTTCTTGACCTATTTTCTACTTTTCACGTCAGAGAGAATTCGGAGGGAAAACCCTTCCCCCTGGACTATGACAGAGTTCACAAATATTTACAAATTTTTGGGGATAATTTACTAGTGATAGGGCGAATAAGGACATTTAGGTGGTAATACATGTAGGGCAATGTGAAAGACATTAAATAAATTTTATATGTATATAGGTTTATTATTAATTGTCATGATTTAATATAATTTCCGATAGATAAATACTTATCTGCCTATCCCGAGTTCAAAATTTATCTGAAAACATTTTATATACATGAGATTAACTGATTTTTTATTACAGAAACGTTAAGGTTACACCCACCACTGGCCCAGCTAAGCAAGATATGCGCTGAGCAATACACAATGACGTCAACCGGCAACAACTTCAGAAATATAAGTGTTACACTGGAGAAAGGATCATCGATAGTAATTTCTCTTCTTGGCTTGCATACAGACGCGAGATATTTTCCGTCGCCAAATGAATTTATCCCGGAAAGATTTTTGGACAAGGCTGAAGCTAATAAGAACGTATACATGCCATTTGGCGCCGGTCCCAGGATGTGCATAGGTTCTTTTTAGTTGTCACTCTAATTTAACCTTGTTGGATATTATCATGTAACTATTCTTCAACAGAACAGTATTGCGTTCTAAGCACATTTAATATTGCCGCAAAATTTTTCTAATCCTTCGTCTTTTAAGATTTCTGTTGAGATTTCCAACCCTTCTGTTTCCTCAAATGGTTAAGAGGATTATAGGGTGGATAATAACAAAAGTGCTTAGAACGTAATAGCAACTATCTAGAGAAATAACGCAACTGTTTATGTGTTTGAAACCATTAACACATTTTTTCATTTCCTTATTTGTTCTGCTTTTAAAACCAATGAACTTTAGCTTTCGAAATATTCCCCTTGCCTTAGTTCTAGACAGACTAAACAGTCCCGTTTCATAATTTCAGAAATGTTTTCAGTTTCTCCTGAATGTCTTTAAACGTAAATTATTTTGTTAGGATAATAAAACAACTATGTAATTATTTTTTGGAGACTTTAAATTGTTTTCTTTTTTGTCCAAATAATGAAGAAAATATTTAATTCCAGGTAGTCGTTTTGGGTCTATGGTAGTGAAAGTTGGAATAGCCCAGACGATAAGAAATTTTGAAGTAACCCTGAATGAAAAAACAATACATCCCCTGAAGCATGATCCGTTGTACTTTTCACTGTACCCTAAAGGAGGGGTTTGGTTCAACTGCAAGAAAATTAAACTCGAGAAATAGCTCAGCAACGAAAGAATTTTCGGCTCTGTTATTGACGAAGATTTTGATTTTCAATTATTATTATATGTATAATGCATAATAAACTATGTTAAAATTTTAATTAGTTTTTAAATCTAAACCGACAATGTAACTTTCAAATAACATCGAAAAGAAATAAAATTCATTTCTCAAAATCACGTTATCAAAGACTATTCCTTATAAGGTCAAAATAGTTATAGTACTTCCTAAAAAAAAAATCCTATCGTTGTGGAGTTATTCGCCTTCAAAGAAAGAAGTTTGAAAAACAAATTACAATTATAACTTCTCAGTCGTTACCATGACAACAATGAAATTGGGCAATTAAAGTAACTCATGGTAATGTTAATTTACAAGTTTAAACTGATATTCAATATGCCTGGTTTATACAGGAGCAGACGAAATTATCCAGTTAAATTTATCATATCATAGGCAAATAATAGTCTGCTAAATTGGAGCCCGGGGGTGCGTATTATATTGCTATATATTATGTATTACGTCTAATTAAAGTCATTGTAACTGACAAACAGATGTCTATGAAACTATAGCAATAAAATTTTTGTAATAGCAAAGCGTGTCCAACTCTATCAAACGACTTTGTAAAATTCATAATATGATAAAATTGAAGCTGTATATGGCGGTTGCACAAATTGATACACGTTTATTACAAAAAATCAAATGTGGTAATATATGCCAAAATGACATGCCAATTACATATACACAATCCTCTGAGTCACACTTAGGCATACTTTTGCTAATTTTCAAGCTTCATGAAAAGTATTGTAAGAAAAAGTTTGTATGTATATTATAATTACAACTACTTTACACAGTTTCCTGGCCAGTTAAAATCTAATCCTTAAAAAAACTTCCCTAAGCCCCTATATCTGTATACATATACAGGGTGTCCGCGTTTTTTGTAGCAGGACTTTCACAACTTGTACTAAAAGTCCTTTAAAAAAAAATCATGTAAACATATATGTATAGATGCGTCGTTAACCTGTTAACTCGCAAGAGGAACTTGTACGACGAATCCGGAATGCCGCTCTCAGAATAACTCCACATTATTTGAGAGACGTCGCTGTAATTTGTGTGTAGAACAAAATGGCGGCCATTTCGAACAGCTCCTTTGAGGTCTATTTATAGACTAAGTTGTTTCTCCATACCGTGTTGTTTATTTTTTTATTATCTTACAATAAACTGTGTGAAACAAAAAGTTTTATTTCTGTCTAAACAAAGCGAGACAGGAAAAAAAAGTAAATAACAAAAAAGTTGTATTTTTGATAGCTAAATCTGAGAAAAAATTCAAACTTACCAAAAATCAGTGGCGTACCATATTCTTTTCTATTTTTATCAAGCTGGTGTCTTGTTGTGACGCCACTGGGGAAAATAGGACAAATTAAATTATGTGAGAAAATGAGTATTATTATTACAAACAAAGTTGCCAAGTTTCAACAAAGTCTAAAGAGGGGTTTTCGTTTTATGAATAAAAAATCAATTCTCATTTTAAACTTGAACACTCTGTAAATCGAAAACGACGCATCTATGCATATATGTTTACAAGAACTTTTTTTTTAAAGGACTTTTAGTACAAGTTGTGAAAGTCCTGCTACAAAAAACGCGAACACCCTGTATATCGGAAAAATTTATGAAGGGTTCTTTGAGTGGTTGGTTGTTTGCTCATTGGCCCGATGCTCTTTCGTCTGCGTTGCATGACTGGACACTTGCAGTATTAATTTTCATGATGACAGACACATATTTCTTATATTATCTAATTACCCAATCGTTAACGATAACTTTAAATATAAAACTGATTAGGTTTAATGCAAACAACATATATTCCAATATGTTTACAAACTCTGTCGAAATAAGTAATATCTTTTAATAATAATATTAACCCGCAAGGTCGAGATAAAGTTATTAATATTTATCACTAATGCAGTAAGTTATGTATAAAAGTCAAATTTTTAGGATAGTAGTCTAATTAGCTTAACATATTCGCGAGAGAATAATATTTCATTGAATTCTAGTAGTGTAGTTCTAGAACAACATGTTGCTCATACTAGTAGTCTCGATTTTGTTTCTATTTTTATTTTATTTTATAAGAAAATCAAAGTACTGGGAAAGCAGGGGTGTCCCAGGTCCTAAACCTTTACCTATTTTGGGAAATATAGGAGCTAACCTTATTGGAAAGAAAAGTACATACGAAATTTCTGCAGACATTTACAAGTAAGAAAAGTAATGACTAATATCGATTACGTAATATTTAAACTTAGATATAGTATAGTAATATATTTCATATATTTCCTGAAAATTCATGTCCAACAAATAAAATATAAATACTAAATATCTAGATGAATCTGTCTTCTTCTTTTAATTATACAATTTTTATAATTACCTCTTGAACTTTTATTATTTTTTTAAGATTATTCAAAATAATAAAAAAAATTGTTTTATATCAAATATATAAAATTGAAGGAACATTTTAGAATTTGAATTAATTTAACATCTTTAAAGTAAAGTAAAAGAATATGCTCTAATAAAAAGGAAAAATAAAGCAGCAAATATTCTAGCGGTGTTTAAATATTCTTTAAAACTGTTTATCGATATTTTATAGTATCCAAATTTGGTACTTAATTCAATTGATTTTTGCAGGCAGTATCCAAATGATCCCTTTGTAGGAATTTTTAGAATGGGAACGCCTAGCCTCATTATAAGAGATCCGGAAATAATAAAAAACGTTCTTGTAAAGGATTTTAGTCATTTCGTGAACAACGACATATACGTTGACAAGAAGCTCGATCCTCTTCTTGGTATGAATCCTTTTGTACTAAATGATGATGAGTGGAAAAAGACAAGGCAACTTTTATCACCAGGATTTGCACCAGCAAAAGTAAGTACAATAATGGATCACCAAAATTGAATAACAAAAATAAGAGGTAATTTCCACATGAGAAAATATACTATATTTCAGTTAATAAAATGGTACGTTACTTATAAGATAAAATAAGGATTGTTTTTAAATTAAATTTTTTCTTTGTACTCACAATTTCTCAACTGTGTTTCTGCCTATTTAAATATGTTTATCGTTTTTAGATAAAGACGTTATTTCCATACATGGAGAAAGTAGCCAAAAATTTTGCAAAGTACTTAAAAACGCATGAAGGTGAAGCGTTGAACCTGAAAGATTTGTGTGGAAGGTACACCTGCGACACAGTCGCTCTCTCCGCATTTGCATTGGAAGGGAATAGCTTCAAAGACCCCAACGCTCAATTCCTACAAATAGTACGAACTTTTGTAACACCCGGAACCTGGCAAGCTTTCAAATTTGCCATAAGTTTTTATGTTCCGTATTTCAAAATGAAGTAAGTATTTCATTAGTGATCGGAAACAATTGCCTTTTGGATAAAAAGGAAAAAGTAACATGAGATACATCTAATGATACCTAAAACCTTCACTTTGTATCCTCTTGACCAAAACCTACTCACATTTCATGAACTCCTTTCAAATTCAGTAATTATTAACATTACACCAAATATTATTGGTCTGTATGCAAAATTTATATTGAATTATCTTCCAGGTTAATGCCAAAATGTTTTGATGATGCCGTAATTAACATTACTAAAGAAATTCTAAAGTACAGAAAGGAAAATAATGTCAAAAGAAACGATTACTTCGAAGCAATATCTCAGATACCAAGCGGTTCTTTGGTTGAAATAGCAGCACATCTGTCCGGATTTATAGTCGATGGATATGAGACTTCTTCGTCGGTAATTACCTTCAATACTTATTCATAGATTCATATTTATCAAATTCAAATAACAATTTTTCCATACTCATACCTCATACCTATCTCTTAGTGTAGAACGAAAATTTTATTTATTCGACAAGTTTACTGTTTTATGTGTTCCTTATTTTTTTTTATAACTACCACTATCATGAAATGTGTTGTTATACCCACTGGTTGTTACGGTACGTTGTTAATTATCAATTATTTAATAAACAGTTCTATCTGAATTTTGTAAAAATGCAAGAAATTAATTGTGTTTCTGTGGCTATTTTTAAAGAAGCTCAAGAAGCATTTTCCATTGTAATGTTCCCAGCGAAATCCAGGGAACATTACGAAGTAGCGTTCGCCGAGTTTAACGAATGGAGGGGGAAACGGAGAGTAATGACAATAAATGAAGAAGTCATGCTATCGTATTTTTTAAATATGAAGAAAAAAATATGTAATTTCATCTATGTGGTCAAAGTATTCCTTGGTGATAAAGGTCTACAAAAATATAGATATTGGAAAATATAACATGCTTACTGCTTATTTGAATAGTGAATTGAGAGGATACAAAGCAAAAAAACCTGCAGTATTGGAAAGAGCACATATTGAAGAATTTTTGAGTGGGGCTTCCGATAAAGAACATTTAATGATTAAGGTAATATCTCTTTACCTTTTACACGTTGTTAGGTATATAGTGAAGTTTGAATTATTTTAGGTTTCACTAATAATGGGGGTTTCTCGTGCCTATCAATGCTGAGAATTGACAAATTTAAAAATTAGTGACGTACAGGATGTTGTTGGGCATTTCAAGAAAATTTACAATTACAGAAGAAGGATTTCACGTGAATGCTGTCGAAATATGTAGAAAATATATTCCTCTGCGCTCAATTCGCCTAACACAAGACAGATACATCAATCAAAAATGTACTTCTCAGCCTGTTGGAATCAACACATTCGCGAAAGTACCCTTAATAGTTGCTTCATTCCCGATTATCGCAAATCCAGAAGCATATACTAATTGTATGAGGCGCACTTCAACAACTTTATTGGCCAATAAAGATGCTGATCTTACAACCATCAAACGGCATGATGGACCTAACAAACTTGATATTGCAAGGAAATTTCAAGAAAAATATAGTTGGTCCTTTCAAGAAGACATTCGTAACATGTGCAAATTCTTCACAAACTTCGGCAGATGTTATGCGTTCCGAAAATGATGGCAACAATACTACAAGGGCTGTTATTAACGGAAAGGAAGTTAAATGTGATAAAACAAAAAACGAAATGTCTATTACTATAAATGTAAATGTTAATGTAAATAAATTAATTAATTAAATTTGAATTATTATAGGTTTATTATTTTTTCATTATTATACTAATGAAATAAAGTGACTTTATTCCACTAGTGGATAAAGTATCACTTTAGGGCTCGGTTAAAGCTTGATTAACAGATCAAGCGGTTAGACTGTACATATAACGATTTATTTTATAACGGATAATCACAGTCGAATCGCCTAATTAGTTAATATAGCCTTAATTAAGACTCAAAGTACCGGGCCTATACGGTTCATATGTGTGAATGAAAGTCCGATTATAAGGTGATTGTGGATAAAATAATACATTAATGATTTTTAGGCAATGACATTTATATTTTATGAGTTGGCCAAAAACCCTAAATGTCAACAGAAGTTGCGAGAGGAAATAAATACTGTTTTGGAAAAAAATAAAGGAGAACTTTCAGTCGAAATCCTGAAGGACATGACTTACCTTGAGGCTTGCATAAATGGTAAATTTTATTATTCTCTAATATTGTTGACGATGTGTGTGTGTGTGTGTGTGTGTGTGTGTGTGTGTGTGTGTGTGTGTGTGTGTGTGTGTGTGTGTGTGTGTGTGTGTGTNTGTGTGTGTGTGTGTGTGTGTGTGTGTGTGTGTGTGTGTGTGTGTGTGTGTGTGTGGGTGTGTGTGTGTGTATGTGTGTGTGTGTGCGTGATATGGATTTTTCTTTGTACAACTAATGTTGCCTGGATATAATTTTGACTACTGTATTATGTCTACCTACTTGTTAATAGTTTGGTACCAGATAGTATTTTATGCATCTTCATTTGTGAATATGCCTTCATATTTTGTATAAGCATTTGTTTTGACTTGATCTGATCTTGAATTGTAACTATAAAACCCTCAGATTCCGGTGATAATTAACCTTTCTATAACATTTGTATGTTTGTTCCCTATTTGTCTGTTCCTGATTGACATTTTAGTGTCTACCATGAAGCAGTTTGGATGACCAAACGTAATGGGTGATTTTTATTATGGAAATAAGATCTTATCGATTTTATCTGCTTGATGCACAGTTCTTGTTGATATATCGTTCCTCTTCCTCCTTATCTACTTAATGTTATTCTTTCTTTACATGAGTTGGGGTGTAATTACCTATATTATTATAATTATTATTAAATGTAATAGAGCTTTGTAATATTTTTTTGCAGAGGGATTAAGGTTACATCCACCACTAGCTCAGTTAACTAGAACCTGCAACAAAAGCTATACCGTCTCAACTATCAGTCCAGAATTAAACAAATTAAGTGTTACATTGGAACCAGGATTATCGCTAATTTTTCCTCTCCTAGGACTGCATATGGATCCGAAATATTTTCCTTCGCCAGAGGAATTTATTCCTGAAAGATTTTTAGACAAAAACGACGCCAACAAATATGTTTATATGCCCTTCGGTACTGGACTTAGGACATGTTTAGGTAAAATATAGCTTTCGTGAAAGTTTAGGGTTGTCTTCTAATGGAACGATCACCAGTTGTAATCACTAACTGAAGATTTTCTCACTAATAATATACGAGCCTGAATAATCACTATTTCGTAAAAGATACGGAGGGATTGTTTTTATGAGAAGGTCTTTGTAGTGTTAACAACGATGACCTTATTGAAATGGGAATATTGTAAATGATCGTTTTATTACACATTATCATTACAAAACTTTTATTTTAGGGAGTCGACTAGCTTTGCTGCAGTCGAAAGTTGCATTAGCTACCATATTTAAAGATTTTGAAATAAGTTTGGATGAAAAGCTGAAAAAACCAATGAAGTACGACACGATGTATTTCTTATTGAACCCCAAAGGAGGAGCTTGGATCAACAGTCGAAAAATATCTTAATAAAAGCAATATTATATTTTGTATATAGTTAATAAATAATATACCGAAGTCTATTATAAAAATCAAACGACGAATTACTTTAACTTAAATATATTTTAAAATTATTTCTAAACCCTTATTCAAAATTATTTTTATTGCTTTTGAATAGTTAGTCCTCATATTTCACTTTTCGAATATCATCTTAGGTGGGCGTAAAATCCTTGAAATTGGAATTCTGAATTTCTATAAGTAATTTGTATTCAATCATATCAATCTCTGTATACAGGGTGGGTCACAACTAACGCCACCGTCGATAGGGACCAAACAACAAATGTTATACAAACCTGTTTAGGTGGGTATATGTAGGTTGATTCCGGCAACATTTTAAAAAATTTTTGAAATATACACGGTGTCCAGGAAAAGCGTACCATATCAAAGTTATATATTTTAAATGGAACACCCTGTATTTTACTGCATTTTGAAAGCACCCTAACAAAATAGGTGAACTTTATTAAACCTTCTGCATACCTACGACTTATTGTTTGTGAGGTATTTCAATTTTAGTGAAAATGCAGGCTTAGCGTAGAAATTTATTAGTAATGAAAAATTAATTTTAAGGAAGCAGCTTTGAAGAGTGTATTTTAGATCCTTGCAGTTATAAATTACTATATTTGTCGTCACTTAATATTGTACAAGGTGTTCAAAAAACTGCTGAATACTTCTCTCAACTTTAAACAGCAATAACTTGGTTATTTTAAATGGGACACCCAGTATATTTTTACTTTGGGAGTTGTGAAATTTAAAACTCTTTCAAACTGTGTATAGGTTCCCTATACCTATCTCTAACGGTATTGGAGATATTTGTGCCGTTTCGTTTTTTATAGATTTTTTTTGTAAGATGTATCCACGTGTCTTTATCGAGGTCATTACTGAATTGGTTTGGGTTCTTGATGACGTCGCTTTAAATATATTGAGAAAAATGAGGATGCAATTAGATGGCGCGCCTGCAAATTTTTTCATATTCAGTGAGAAATTATTTAAATTGAAAATTTAGTAATAAATGGATAAGTAGGAATGGTGCATGTCAGTGGCCACGTAGGTGTCCAGACCTCACCGTAATGGACTTCTTTGTTTCGGGCTATATAAAAAATCTTGTACACAATGTTCCACCTACTACTTGCGATGATATAATGGAAAGGATTAGAGATGAACTTGCCACAATCACCCCAGATGTTCTAAGGAATGTGAGGATGTCATTTGAAGATAGAATAAGATGCTGTATTCAAGAGAATGGTTATCAATTCAATCATCAATTAAAATTTTTCTTTGTTTCTTCTAAAAGTAAAATTTCCTTTAACAAATATTTTTCATGTTCCTAATGATTTAATTGACTTACGTACATACAACAAACATAATATTTATACAAAATTAATAACTTTTTATAATTATTCTGCTTATAAAATAGTATTTTTTATTAAAAAACTTTCTTGAATATTGTCATGATTGAAGCTTTACCAATTCAATAAAGACCTCGACAAAGACAACTGGATACATCTTAAAATTCGATAAAAAACGAAAGGCACAAATATCTCCAATACCGTTAGAGATAGGTATAGGGAACCTATACACAGTTTGAAAGAGTTTTAAATTTCCTAGCTGCCAAAGTAAAAATATACTGGGTGTCCCATTTACAATAACCAAGTTATTGCTGTTTAAAGTTGAGAAAAGTATCCAGCAGTTTTTTGAACACCCTATATAATAGTAATTGACGACAAATAATAATAATAATTTATAATTCAAGGATCTAAACTACTCTTTCCAAAGATGCTTCCTTAAAATTATTTTTTTATTACTAATATTAAATTTATACGCCTGCATTTTCACTAAAATTGAAATATCTCGCAAACAATAACTCCTAGATATGCAGAACCTTTAATAAAGTTCACCTATTTTATTACGGTGCTTTCAAAAATGCTGTAAAATACAGGGTGTTCCATTTAAAAATACATAACTTTGATATGCTCAATGCTCATCGCCTTCTTCTTTAGTCTGTTTATGATTCACTAAACCAAAAATGTTCCAGCAAATTACTTTGAATGCAAGATAGCTACTACCAGTTCCAAAACATAATAAATAATCATTTAAATTGATCTTTTGTAAATAGACAATATTATTTACAAAATATTGTGCAGAGTAATAGATAATGACGTAATGAACTGTTTTTCAAAAAACAGAACTCAAGAAATTGGACGACCTCTCCGACATACAAAATTGACAACTAAAGCGAAATAAACATATAACATTAATGTAAATGGCATTTTTTATAAAACAGAATTACTCTTCAGTTTTCTAATTATGTAGAATGAAAAGTACGGAGTGAAAAGTACAGAAAACAGGACCCTGGTCCCAAATCTTTACCCTTGGTGGGAAACTATGGAGCCAATGGTTTGTTCTAAATCTCAAGATTCATTTAATCCTTTCCAACCAAACCATTTCCATTACACTCTGTGTATAAAAGTTTGTATTAGCAATCATTTGAACGTACCAAATATAAACCTCTACTACAACAAAACTCCTCTCTTGTGTCTTTATGGAATTGGAAACCGCCGACACAACCAAACGAAGTTCCAAACGTTTCTAAATGAAAGATTCATTCACAGGATTAATTAAATCCAATAAATAGTTAATCGAGCCGGGCGCACTCAGTGGTCCACGTCCAGTACTATTTAGATTAAAATATATTTTTCATTACGAACCGCACTAGGATTGGTCGACAACGGAAATGTTAGCTCTGATCTCTGTGAATTGCGAACAAAAAACTTTTGTACGAACTTGACCAACCTCAGAGGTACGCTAGAATGGTCGACTGAGCAGGCCGATTGTGTTTTGTCACTCATGTATAGTTTCATCGCCTGCTGCATAATGCGCTTCAACTCTTCGGATTTTTTCGATACTACACTTCACAGGCACTGGAAATATACTGTTAATTTGGTTTTGAACACACGTTGGCAGCAACGAATTTAAATCAATATGTCGCCTAGCTTAACTGTAGAATATTTTTTGTACTTAATTTATAATATCGTTCACAAGGAAATTCTTTTTCTACATTAGTTGCAATATACGAACAATTCAAAGATAAATATAGTTGCAACAGTTAAAATTTTTTAAAATTTGTCGCAAGCCAGCCATGTATCTTAAAATACCTTTTTGTGAAATAAAAGCATCTGATGCAAGGGAGCAATTTCCTCAAAAAACAATACCATATCTCAATCTGGAACTCACATACGCTTGGTAAACAGTTATCAATTGTAAAGAAATTAAAACAGGTTGAGCGGAATGAGATTTACAAGCAAGGCATTCATCAATTGTTACTCTCAAAAACTTAATTTCATTTTCGTACCGTGAAATATCAGAATCATTTAAAGTAAAACATAATTTGGCACAACATTTTTGCATGTTATGGAACATGATAGAGATGGTTTTACTTATAGAAGAAGCATTAGTTTTTGTTTCAAAGACTTGTCTGTGTTATCAGATACTAACAAGGATGTATCATCCACATACATGACAAAAGAAGTATCACAAACTACGTTCCAAATTCGTTGGTATACAGTAAAAATATAATTGGGCCTAGTATGGATCCCTGAGGAACCCCTATACTGAAATTATGTTGTTCTTGTACGTCAGACGAACATACTGTTTATGTCCTTCCAAAAGAGATACGATCCACTCGTTTGCTACTCTCCTGCTTCAAAATATTGAATAATTTTATAATAGAATGATTATTAAACTGAAAACCATGTTGATTTTAATACATTTCAAAAGTCGCTGCATATAACAATGTTCGAAGATTCTGGAAACCACAGGTGGTTATAGGTCTATAATTTTCCATAAGTTGTGGACAGTGTTTTTTATAAATAGCAATGACTTTTCCTACTAACAATACCATTGGAAAAACTCCAAGTGAGAAAGATAAATTAACAAGATAGGTAATAGTGTGAATAATATAATGAATTAAAACCATAGGTCCTTCATCTGATCCAGAGGAGTATTTACGTTTTAATTTACTTTTTAATAGGAACAGAATTTCATTATCTACAAAAGGTTCTAAGAAAAATGTTACAAGGAATTTCACAGTTAATTTTATTATTTATAGGAATGTTATGTAGGTACTTTATCTAAAGGAGCATTTTTAAAATATCTTATAAAATAAGAGGATCTTCAAATAAATTTACGGTCTGTTTATGTTTATATTATTTATTTATTATATATCTATTATTTAGAGAATTTTAAATAGCAAACCTTATGGAAAACTACAACTAGTAGACATACACTAGGCACAGAAATTAAGAGATATTAAAAAAATCCCAAAACTTTGAATGATTTTCAAAGAGCTGTAACTTGGAGGGAAATGGTTGTAGAGAGAATAAAAAAAAGGAAATTGAAGCCTCAAGGGTCTAGTTTTCAGATCTGCAGTTTATAATTTTTTAGAGCAGTTTTTGAGTAAGCATAAGAAAATCAACGGATAAAAAAATTGTAAATTTTTGCTTTTTTTAAAAAGACCTATGGACTTCAAAAAAATTTGTTTGGCAATTTCACTATAAAGCTCTTAGATAATTTAATTCTCTTCAATTTAAGCTGTTTCGAAGCCTTATACAATTATTTGTTGTTGAGTTAGCGTCAATCAAATAAAAATAATAATTTTTGACTTTGAAAAATCAATTACTCGGGAAATAATGGTCGTATAGAAATTCCAATCAGGGTTTTGAATACTGCAAAGTATTCTCTACAAGTCGTAATTATGGGTTTTTGATAAAAAACTCAAGGTGTCCTGAAGAAACCCTAATGATTTCAAAACGCTGCGATTTTTTTCCTAGTGCCCGGAATGTTTAAATTTACCGTTTTGCTGAAAATAGTAATAATAATAATAATTAATAATAA